TGTTATGTATGTTATGTATGTTATGTATGTAATGTATGTAATGTATGTAATGTATGTAATGTATGTAATGTATGTAATGTATGTAATGTATGTAATGTATGTAATGTATGTAATGTATGTAATGTATGTAATGTATGTAATGTATGTAATGTATGTAATGTATTTAATGTATGTAATGTATTTAATGTATGTAATGTATGTAATGTATGTAATGTATGTAATGTATGTAATGTATGTAATGTATGTAATGTATGTAATGTATGTAATGTATGTAATGTATGTAATGTATGTAATGTATGTAATGTATGTAATGTATGTATGTATGTATGTATGTATGTATGTATGTATGTATGTATGGAATGTAAGGTAAGGTAATGTAAGGTAAGGTAATGTAATGGTATGTATGTATGTATGTACGTAGGTATGTAGGTAGGTAGGTATGTAGGTATGTATGTATGTATATACACCACCACAGGGGCATCATACCCCCCCCCATCCCATGGGGGGGGGGTGGGAACACGGGACACGGGACCATATATAAACCTCCTGTAAAGCCGCTTCTATCCATTTCAGGTAAATTTGGGTTGTGGTTTATGGCTGTGGGTTTGCCAGATTAATCAACCTTGCGTAAGGTTCGAATCCATGGCATCGTTGCTGGGCACCCGAGCCCAGGTCATTAACTATGACTTCCCTCAGTCTGCTGCCACATACATTCACAGGACTTGGCATAGCTCCCATGCCTGAGAGGGCATGCTGGGAAGATGTGGCTGAGTGGGAATCTATTCTGTTGCAATTCAACCTTTTGTGGGAAGAAATGGGTTATTTTCAAAGCACTGAAGCTGCTTGTGTTGGGTCAGGTTCATCATGAGTCAACATACGGCTGGTTTTATGTCCATATTCGCATATACAGTGAATGTAGGATCAAGCGGTTAGCAAGATATATCATATCTCTATATATTTATTTAATTTTATATAATTATATATATATATATAACCCATTTGAGACAGAAAAAGAATGGGCGTCTTATATTGTCATTGGCTTGTTCATGGGGAACTTCATTTCAACCAACCGGCCAGCGCCAGGATTGGACGAACGGGTCGTGCGGGCAGGCGCACGGGCCCCGATAAGTTCAACCAATATCAGCCGATTATATATACAGTATATATATATATATATTATATAAATACGCATTATATATATATATATATACACATTATAATATATATATAGAGGCCTATAGCAAAACGCTAATCAACGTGTTTGGCTGGGGTTACAAGTGGAATTAATCATTGAGGGTTGATTTGGGATACTTCGCGCGGTGGTGTTTGGATGATGTTTGCGCCCACCAAGACGATGGACATCTTCACTGCACCGTCTTTTTTGGGTGAGAAATTCTGGAAACTTTCTTGGAGAAGAGATGAAAACATGAAAGGAGAGGAACCCCAAAAAGTCTTTGGAGATGTTCCCTTTGCGCATCGAGGACAGGAAAAGCCATTACCATGTTCACCATCGAGGATTTCGAATCCTTGCGCAGTCTCCATTCCTGATGGGCAATGGCATGTGTTGGGTTGGGTTGCACAACCATCAGCAGTGAACTTCTGGATTTTCTATGGGATAATGGAGGGGTGAATTGAGTTATGAGTATATTAGTCCATATTGGGAAGCCACCACCAATGACAATATTCAATATTAATAATTGATTATTAATATATTATATAATTATATGTTATTATTCCATAACACGATTATATGATTCCTTAATTGAGCTTTAATCCATAATTGTTATACTACTCATGCATCGGGAGCCAAGGAACTACTCAACTACTAACAGTTTCCCAACCACATGTTGACCGAAGTTTGTGGTCCATTTGGCCATCACATTTGACCTATGCCCATGGCCGCCTTGTGCTTTGTGAATGGGTGCAATGCCAGTATCATCTGTGGGTGCCAACATGGGCCATGCGCATTCCCAAAGAAAATTGCAATAGATGGTGCAATAGGTGGAAGATGGCAGTCCAGTCAACATGTATACCAAAACATACCAAAACAATTCCACCCTGGTGAAGCTATTCGGCTATTGAAGAACTGTAAAGGGCAAGGCTGGACCCAGCATGGAAAAGGGAAGTACTCAAACACAAACAATGGCTATCAATGGCTGCTATTCCAAGTTCCTGGTGATTTCTAGGACTCAAAGGTCAACCGTGTTTTTTTTGGAGCTCCCTCTGACGCTACATCGAGGCATTGTGGGAGTCATGCGGCAATCGGGCTGTGAAGTCCCTGACTGGATGCTGAGACTGAAGCCCAAGTCCAAAAAGGCCATCTGGAAATGGTGTGTGTTTCGGATCTCGGGCCATTGAATAGCAGGAGATGGTGGTCTTCCGAACGGCGCGCACTATGTCTTCACATAGAATTACATATATGTATGATAAATACATGATAATGAATGAATGAACCTATTAATAAACATCAATAAACAATATCAAATATAATATAGTATACAAATCAGTTGAACAAATATATATATATACATATGTGTGTAAATATATATATATATATATACATACTGTATATATCCTGCACATGTTAAATCATTTTAATGTATAATCAATAATAAGCGTATATATGGAGTTGTGCGGCATATATGGCGTGGCAGGCCAAGCGGCTTGCAGAGTGGCAGCATGGCCAGCATGGCTGGATGGGAATTCCATTGAATTCCATGTTAATTATTGGGATTGGGATAGCATTTTTATGGGAATTAATTAATGGGATTAATGGGATTTAATAATGGGATTTAATTGGGATAAGATATTTTTTGGGGACTTAAAGATTTCCAGGGTCGTTTTAGGTCGTTTCCTCCGTGCCTCCTGCAGATCTATGCCAATATATGCCGATACAAAGCTGCACGTTACAATAATTTGGAGGTGATCCCATTTTATACCAAATATTTTCGACTATTATGATATAATATTATAATATATTATGGCTATTGTTTTTTTGTTCAGAGTATACAAGCCACCATTTTCCACAATGGGTGGTATCAATAAACCATCTAAATATGTATAGGTGGTCAACTAGTTATTGCTTTACCAGCATTAGTTGATACTCAATCATGGTTTGTGCATGTTGTGCCTTTCAACGTTGAGACACGCCAAGGAGACAGCCCAAGCGCAAACGCATCAGTACCATTTCTGGCTACGACCTGAGAAAATCCCACAAAAAGAAGCAGCTCCTTGATTTGCACTGCGCAAATCCTGATGATTTGCTGATGATTCTGGGTAAATTATAACGACCTCACTACGACCTCACTGGAAATCATGGTTAGTAAGGGAAATCATCCCCAAATGGCCTTAATTCAGGTTAGTGAATTATTACAATTTACCCAGATGATTTGGCTGATTTTCTCAATGGAAAATCCACTACTTGCGGAAGGTCGGGACTCGGGACTGAAAATTCCGTATGTTGGAGGCGTCAGATCAGCAAATCCAAGATCCAAAATCTCATGTTTGATCATGATTTGAACATGGTGGGAAAGCCACCAAGAGAAACATATTTCGGGATACCCAATGGTCACCCAGTTTCTGGCTTCCAGTTTTAGGATTTACGCTCGGCCCTTTTTTGCTCACAGCGTGGCTTGTCTCTCATGGACGTTTGTGAACATTGTAAAAGGTGGACGTCAGAGAGGGACAAAGCCTGCAGACTTTGCCGCCTGTGTGTGGCTTTAACCCAGGTATCGGGTCAGCCTGGGTTTACTGAGGAGGATTACGATAGGACAGCTGAGCAGTTAGCCAGCATCCTCGGAATCCTCACTTCGAAGGTACTCCTCGCTCCAGTTGGCGGAAGGAGTAGCTTCATTGCTCCTCGGGATACAAATGCAAGAGGAGAACTCCCAGGATCAGGGGAGGAACTTCGCTCTCAAGGATCCCCAGGAGAGCGTACTTCAAAGAGAAGGCATTCGGATCGATCGCGGGACAGGAGGCGCCAACGAAGGGCTCCTACCCGATCTCCCAAACCAGAACACAGTCAGTCTCCTCAGTCGCATAGACGTGAAAGGAGGCGACACCATTCCCCCTCACCTCGCGAGGTATCTCGTGACAGGAAGAGGGAGCGATTTAGCCCAAAACAAGAGGAGAAAACTCCCCCTCATAGTGAAGGGTTAGAAAAGGAGCCTGAAAAGAAGGAGATCAAGGAGGAGCAGCCTCCGGATAAGAAGTCCGGTTGGGTTCCTCAGCTGCGAGGAAAAGACAGCCCTTCGGCGCCTCCTCCTCCTCCACCCAAGGGGAGTAAGGAGGTGATCCTGAAAGGGGCTAGCTCTTCAGCTCGGGTGCCCGAGCCTCCTTCTCCTCCCCGCTCTGCGGAGTATAAGGAGAAGAGAGAGGACTTAGGTGAGGAAGCAAAGGGCGCTCCTTCCCAGCCCTCTTCAAAGGGTAAAGGTAAAGGGAAGTACCTTGGGAAAAACCAGAAAGGTTACTACAAAGGTAAAGGCTGGTCTTATTGGGGCCAACAGCCCTGGAATTGGGGCTGGGATTCCTCTTGGGATTATCAATACTCAAGTGAGGGATCAAAGCCCAAGAAAAACAAGGGGAAAGCTCGGGATCAATTCATTGGTAAGAAGATTGAAGAAAGGCGAGCTAAGTCAAAAGCCAAGGGCGGCGGTAAGCCAAAGGAGGCGGACGAGAAGGAGGAAAGTGACAGCTCATCGGTTACTGCTCCTCCTCCGCGCAGTGAAGATCTCCCTCCGCCCGGTACTGTAATAGCGGAGTCTACGGAGGGAGCATCGGGTGCAGACCAAGTTGCGCCTGAGCGAGTTGAAAACTGGGCGGATGCCACCGAAGCTTCGACGCCCGGCTGCAGTAATACAGGCCAGACCGAAGCGAGTCAGGGGGCCTAACGCGAAAGCTAAAGCCCTGTCCAGTACCGGTATCTTGAAAAGACCGGGTGGAAGAATCCCACCATCTCCTGTCGAGGAAGGTGCGTCATGGGTAGAAGTGGAAACCCTGTCAGAGGAAGATCTGAAGGTGGGTCAAAAAGTCCTGATGAAAATTTGGTACGGAGGAGAGGAGGGTCTGATTCATGGAACTGTGAAGGAGAATACAACGGACTCCGAAGGGCGGTGGGTAGGACTGGCAGTGCTGGGAACGCAAGTGCACCAGTTGCGGAGCTTCCTCATAACCAGTCCTCCACCGGCACCTCTCCTGTACCTCTCAAAGATCAAGAGCTCTCCCGAGCAGAGACTTACTACCCCAGGTATAGGTTACTTACTCTCGTATCGAGAAGTGACCAGTGCAGATCGCCTACCATGGATGGACAACTGCGCCGATCAAGAGAGAGGGGTAGACGAGAACGAAGACCTACGTCGAGCTGCTCGAGGTCTGGGACTACCAGCTCCTACAGCAGGAGCCCCTCCCCCAGATCTGGGTATGGGAGGGGAGCTGGGAGAAGGGCAACAAGTCCCAAAGGCCAAAAAGTTGAAAGGCAAACAGAAGGTAAAAAAGATGGTGGAGGCTTCTCGATGGAGCTGCAAGGATACCCCTCTGGATCCCGGCTACAAGAAGCCAATAAAATTGAAGGTAAAAAGAAAGGGGAGCAGTTCGAGCAGTCCCAGCACGAAGGATCAAGTTCCAATGGAACTTCCGAGGAAGGACTGGGTACCGAACATCGCCTACGGGTGATCGCAAAACGGCTCCTGGGGTATCTTTGCCGAGCTTCAGCGAAAGAAGCAAAGAAGAATTTGGCCGAAGCCACTGGAGAAGCTCCTCAGAGCCTAAAGATCTTCCATCGCTACTACCGCCAGGTCGTGGCACCCCGCGGAGGGTCGAAAGGCCTCCAACGGGAGATGGTTACCCTCTCAGTGTTGCTGGATACACTGATAGAGGGGGATGTGTTGAAAGCGGCCGATGTCGCCGCTCAACGCTTGAAGAGCTTGGAGCTCATGCAGCAAGGGTCGGATCCGAACCTAGCCCAACAGATCGAGCTCATACCCCGAGATCACCTGGGTATGGTAGCCGACAGCGAGGCCCGGTATGCCCAGAAACAATTTACGGCCGAGACAAGGCTGCAGAGGCAACTAAAAGGGGCCCCGGGGTTGGGGAAAGGATCCTGGACCCCTTTCCCAAAAGATTTCCCCTCCTCTCAGCCCAAGGGAAAGCAAAAAGGGTCAGGAAAAGGCAAGGGGAAAGAGAAGACCGGCAAAGGAGTTGCCGAAGCCAGCAAGGTGGTACCTCCGCAGAGCTGATCTGCATCAGTGATGAGGAGGATCCTCCAAGTCTGGCGGAGATAGATGAGCTCATTATGCAAGGCATGATGGCAGCTCAGTCACAGTTGGCCGAAACCGGCCTTCCAATAGTGAAGGAGTCGAGCTCCTTATCGCCTGCGTCACAGAGACAAGGCAACAATGAACAGCCCCCCGTGAAGGTTTCGCTTCTCGAGGATCCGAGCCATGGCGCAGCGTCGGGTGGCGATGCTGATGCAGCGGCGTCGGAGACTGGGAAGGCAATTGGGCCACGGGTTGCTTCCCTGAGTGGGTTAGCTAGACAGGTTTTTAATCACCTCCCCAAAGTCCTGGGCAATTTTAAAGGGGCTAGGCGGGGTTCCAGCATGGAGGGGATTTTTCCGCTCCCCTTGCCTGCTGACCATCAGGGACAGCAGTGCGAGTTGAATCGTACCTGGGAGGAGGGGGTGATACGGTCATTTAATTGGATGTTTTGCAATTCATTTCATTTGGGAAACTCCCCCCCAAACATTCATCAGACCCGACTGTTGGCAGAGATCCGAAGGAGTCTAGTTCTGTTGAAAACTTGGGGGGTGTTGGAATTTAATGAGTTTAACCCAGATGACTTTTTCCGTCAAAGATGGATTAATTCGTATGGGGAAGAAGTGCATGTCGCAAAGCCTTTAAGATGGGAGAACATAGCCACTAGTTTACCCGCGCAAGGCTTGGCAGGAATCTTGCCGGCTGCGGATGTGTCCAAGGATGGTTTTAAAGACTTTTTGCTCCAACCCGATAGGTGGCTGAAACCTATAGCTTCGCGTACATGGATCAGACCACCTCGGGTACAAGTACCGCCTGACGCTTGGAAGGAGGTGGTAGAAGGCCTCATCAGACGGCAGGTGTGTGGGATTATGCCGCTCTCAGAAGCATTCTGTGTAGAGGGGCAGCCCATTTTGGGCGGACTCTTTGGGGTCCCGAAAAACGAATGGACCCAAGATGGAACGGAGGTTCTAAGGCTAATAATGGACTTGCGGCCCATTAACGAGAACTTTCTTCCGCTAGGGGGAGACCTCAGTACTCTACCAGTACTGTCACAAATGGTCCAATTGGAGGTACATCCCTCAGAAGGTTTGATAATTTCCTCTGAAGACATCCGTGCAATGTTTTACATCATAGGGGTACCCCCTGTTTGGAATCAATTTTTGGGTTTCTCCCGTCCCATACCGCGAGAATTGCGACCGGTGGGGGCCCGGGAGGATTACATTTTGTATAGCAAAGTCTTGCCAATGGGTTTTGTCAATAGCGTTTCAGTGGCGCAACATCTTCACCGCCAAATAATTGCCCTGGCTTTCAAAGATACCCTGAATTTCGGACATGAAATTCGCAGGGATCGGGAGTTCCCCAGCAGCTCAGTATGGTTTAGAACTTATTTGGACAACTTCGACTTACTGTCAAAGCAGTCTCAAGCGATTCTGGAAACTGATCATGGGTCCCTAATGGGGAAACTTCGTGATACCTACAATGAGCTGGGAATCCCGAGAAATGAAAAAAAGGCTGTTGAAGCAGCCCGCTCCGCAGAAATGCAAGGAGCTTGGATTGATGGAGAAAAGGGAACTTGTAGCCCCAAAGGAGACAAGGTAGGAGAAGAAATAGAAAGTTTTCAAAATCAAGGTTTGCTGGTCATATCAGCATTTGACGGAATTGGCTCCTTGCGCATCGCATTGGATACCCTCAAGGTCCCTTTGGCAGGGTATGTTTCTATTGAGAAGGATCCCATAGCTCGCAGGGTACTTGAGAGCCATTTTCCATGTTCAATGCAAATCAGTGACATTGAATCTGTAACCCCAGAAACCCTCCAGCAGATAGCTGCTCAATTTCCAAATTGTAAAGCAGTTCTTTTTGGAGGGGGACCTCCGTGCCAAGGAGTGTCACAACTGAACGCTGCAAGACAAGGGGCAATAAAAGATCCAAGATCATCCCTTCACCAAATATTTGACCGAATTAAAGGGTGGCTCCCTTCGATTTTCCCTTGGTGCCCCATCTATTTTTTGATGGAAAGTGTTGCCTCAATGTCAGATTCGGATAGGGAAGTATACACCAAATCTTCTGGAGTGTTACCCTACAAGGTTGACGCATGTCATCTTTCGCTATGTAGGCGACCACGTTTGTGGTGGTTTAACTGGGTTATACCCACAGGCGAAGGAATTGAAATCTTCCCCCCTCTGTCAAGCTCTGCTTCAGATTGGGGAGAAATAAGATTCCACTATGACTGTCAATCCAAGGACTTCTTGCGACCCGGGTGGACACCAGCCGGAGTTGGTGCTTTTAGCACTTTTACTACGGCTCAACCGTCAAAGGTCCCTCGGTATAAGCCGGCAGGGATTCAATATGCTACCCCAAAGGATCTAGATGCTTGGCACCAGGACCGCTTACGATTTCCCCCATATGCCTATCGTTGGGAAAATGGGGTGATACATGAGCGTAAAGGGTGGCGAATGTTGGACATTAATGAAAAAGAAGCAATTATGGGTTTTCCCATTGATTACACATTCCAAAGTCATCCGAAAGGTTTTCGAAAAGCGAATCCCCTTGAGGCAAATGATGCCCGAATGACTCTCATTGGGAATGCCTGGCACGTAGGAGTGGTTTGTAACCTGTTGCAACCTCTGGTGGCTAGCTTAGGGTTAATCCCTGCGGCCACAGTTTCCCAAATTATGAATCAATGTAAACCGGGGGGTGCATCGGAAGTCTCAGGACTCCTCCTCAGACCTCGAATCAAAGGGTCTATGCCTTTTAAATCCATTGAACAAAAACCAAAACACCAACTTCTGTTGGTAAGAAAGTTGCTGCACCTGGTGTCTCCAAAGGGGGCTGACGTGCTTTTAAGTAATCCAACCGAGGGCCTGCCGCAATACCATCGGCTCAGGAACTCGTTGAGCCCAAAGCTGTGGCATTGGAAAGTTGTGACGGGCTGGACCTGGAAGGCCAATGGAGGCACGGTGGGCGAGCACATCAATCGCCTTGAGATGCGGGCGATTGACACTAGCCTTAGGTGGAGGATTCTTAAACATAAGGGATTTCGAACCAAGATACTTCATTTAGTTGACAGTCTAGTGTCCCTGCAAATCATTACCAAGGGTCGGACTTCAAGTCGGAAGTTGAGATCTATTTGTAAGCGAATTGCAGGCTTTCAGCTAATTGGAGGGGTGCTACTGACGTTGGGATATACAGCCTCAAAAACTAATCCAGCTGATGCGCCGTCACGGCGCTCCCGAAAACGGAAATGGGGCGACGTCAAATAGTAGAGGGGCTGGAAAAATCCGAACGTCAAAAGCGCCGTGCAACACTTGGTTCTTTGAAATCCCTTGTTCTAAGACCTGCCACAATTACCAGGTACCAAAAAGCTTTCCAATGTTTTATTTCTTACTTGAAATCTTGTCATTTGGATATCTCCTCCACCAAGTCTGGTTTAGACCAACAATTGGTGGATTACCTGGAATTCCTCTGGGAGGATGGAGAATCTCTATCCTTAGCAGGAGATACGTTATCATCAATTCAGTATTATCAACCAAGCGCGAAGCGAAACATCAACCAAGCTTGGAAGATGTTGAAGACGTGGCAGCTCCATGAGCTACCAGCGCGCGCAACACCCTTCACCTGGACCACTCTCCAGGTTGTTCTAGGGTATACCCATTCTATTTCCCCCCAAACCTCACTCGGTCTCCTGCTAGCCTTCAAATGTTTGCTTCGCACAGGAGAACTGCTAGGTGTTACCAACAAGGATATTATTGTTTCACCTGATCAATCTTCTATTTTGGTTCGGCTCGGTTTGACTAAAACTGCTAGCCGCAATCCTTCTTCGGGCACTGTTCATGTTATTGATACTGTTTTAGCACGACTTTTATCAGAATGGCAAAATCAGGTTGCATGGGATGCACCTTTGATCCCATTTAGTGCTTCAAAATTTCGCATTTTCTTTCAGCAGGTTCTTTCAGCTTGTGGACTCCAAGACCTGAACCTGAAACCATATAGTCTTCGACGAGGAGGAGCTACCGACATGTGGATCAGCACTCATTCCTATAACCTGGTCCAACATACAGGACGTTGGACTAGCGAACGAGTCATGAAACAATACATCGATGACTCTACTGCGCTGCTATCCAACATGCGGGTTACTCTTTCTCCAAAGCAAAGGTCATTTATCACTCTGTGGCAAAAGATAAGCCACGTTGAGCCACCAGCAAGCTGGCAGTCTAGGGGTCGTGGAAGGAAAAGAACTAGGTGAATCCCTCACACCCCTACTTCATTTTCGTTTGTGTTGTGTCAAAATTGTTGCTTTAATCATGGCTACGGAGTGGTATATGTCTCCATTCCGGAGAGCAAGGGCCGAGGGTAAGTTGGGTGGTCTAGCCAACTTTTCTACCAACTAACCCTGCTTAGCACAAAAAAGGTGAGTGCGCTAAATCCTAGTTTCTGGCTTCCAGTTTTAGGATTTACGCTCGGCCCTTTTTTGCTCACAGCGTGGCTTGTCTCTCCCGCCCCCAACCACCCTTGGCCGAAGGAAAAGAACTAGGTGAATCCCTCACACCCCTACTTCATTTTCGTTTGTGTTGTGTCAAAATTGTTGCTTTAATCATGGCTACGGAGTGGTATATGTCTCCATTCCGGAGAGCAAGGGCCGAGGGTAAGTTGGGTGGTCTAGCCAACTTTTCTACCAACTAACCCTGCTTAGCACAAAAAAGGTGAGTGCGCTAAATCCTATGTTCGGTTACTTCCAACTGGCTGGCCAAAGTCAAAAGCAGTCTGGGATACTATAATTGCTTTCATGTCGAGGCTGCAGGCTGTTCAAGTTGTGTTCAAGCCCGGCCAGCGGCCAACAGCAAAAAATGCAGAAACTCCACGCGGGGTTGAACATGGCCAAGAGATGCTGAAAGATGTTGCAATATGGTAAAAGCTGAGGCCAAGAGTCCTCCCAAACTGAGAGGTTTCATAGAAGCTCTATTCTGGGATGCTCCCTAAAGTCCCATTTTTGGCTGTTTCTTGGATGTGCATCCCAAATGTTGCTGGTATTTACTGTATCCAGTGCGTAGCTCCAGTATAACCGTGAACCACATACCAACTGGGATGGGGATGCACATCCAAGATACCACAATCAATCAATAGATAGATAGATAGATACAGTAGATAGATAGACAGATAGATAGGTAGATAGGTAGATATAATAGATAGATATGATAGATAGATATAATAGGTAGATATAATATAAATACAAATATATATATATATTTATTTATTTAACATATAGATGTAATATTTAGATATAATATTTAAATATAAAAAACGCATTGGTATATGTTATTATTATAGAGTTAAAGGCCATTTCAGGTGTTGTTTCCCTGTACATTCTGCCTATTTGTTCACCTCTCCCACACGTTCCCAAGCCAAGTGCCTCAAACTCAGGATGGTCGAGGCTGGGTTTGGGTCCAAAATTTCTGGTGCCTCAACTTCTAGTCCAAGTGACTTGGAAGTAGACTTCCGTGAGCGGTTTCAAGAGCTGGTCCAGGTTTATGATCATAGGGCCATAGGCGGGCCTTTATAATCCTAGAATCTTGCAATCCAGCATCGGAATCCCCATTGTAAGTTGTTTTCATATGTTTACTGCTCAAGTGGAGATATGATGAGATATGCATTGATGATCATGGATGAATTGATCGCGGCGCTTCAGTGCGAGATCAATGACATAAATGGCTGATGCGTAGGCGAGCAAGAAGCGAAAGGCTGAAGGCGATGACGACTGAACTCGGCCAGCCGCTGACCATCGCTGACCCCCACGGCGGAAAGTGAAATGGCGCTGGCTGCACATTTCATGCTTCAGCTAGCGATTAACAGCTCAATGCTTGGCCATAAATGCCAGGGTACGAGCTCAAGCCACACAATGCCATGCATGCATGATGCATGAAGATGTAATTATGCATACTGTAATAGTATTATCGTTATATGTGTGTATATTTGCTAGTCCCAAAAGTTTTTCAAGTATCTTAATAAGATGTTTTAAGTATCCAAGACTGGCCTGATGTAATCTTCAGACAGTGCTTGGATGATCAGCCGGATGTGTGTTTCGGCTCAAGATTCCGTGGCGGAGCGTGAAGAAGCGTTGCTTGGTTTGGAGCTGAAGAACTGGGTTACCCTCTGGTGAACTAACATAGCAATGGAAAATCACCATTTTTCATGGGAAAATCCACTATAAATGGCCATTTTCCATTGCTATGTTAGTTCACCAGAGGGTAGCTATGAATGACTTGGGTTTTTCAAATTGATGGATTCTGATATATTCTGATGGATTTCTAGGAGATATCAAAGGAATCACTGGTAGCTGTGTGATGCGAACTGGGAGGAACCATACTACATAGACATATCCAAGAATAATTGATGGGCATGACATACAAGTCTATTACAGCAACGGCTGGCATGCAAATTGCAGAAGCCCCACCATACCTTTGGATAATGATGGAGCAACAGATGATTTACCTTTTACAGATGGGGATGTCGCTTCCAGTAGCCATCAGTAGCCATCCACAATGTTGACAATCACTGGGCAAAGTTCCAATTTCTATCAACTTCTGTCTAAAATCATCCAACATTGGATCATGTTGGATCTACGGCCACCCCCACCAAGGATGACGTCGCAAGGGCCACGGACCCTGGCAACCCTGACCTTTGACGCCGCCTCCCAGCGGCCGCCACTGCAATTCCTGCTGGAACCGAATGGGAAACAGGTCATTACTGTGGGCCGTGCGCCCAAATCAGCCACTTGGATCATTTGGCCGTGACGTTTTTTTTTCAACGCCAAACAATGGATAAACATGGGTTAAAACAATGCCATAAACCAGCCATGACTGGGAATGGTAAACATACCACCAATTAAACGGTGATGACTGGGGGATGGTTTATGACAGTGATTTAACCACAGTTGCTTCGATTTTTGGGCTTTGCGGGTTGTAGATATTGATCCTTTAATGTGAAATGATGGACACTGTTCATGTTGAAAATGTTGATTTTCATAGAAATGACATTAACTGTATACATATATATATATAATTAATTACCTTAAATACGCCTTAGCAACATTGATGCTCGTACCCCATGCCAGCAGCCACAATCAGCCACACCCAAATAGTTGGGAAGGATGTGCGGCAGATGTGCATTGGAACTTACGCCGTGCAGTGCTTCGAGCAATAAACAGCTGCCATTTTTTTTGGTTTGGCGGCTAGGTTTCAGCAGTTTCTGACCTGCACATACACTGTCACATAACTCTATAGTCTATAATTAATACTCTATATATGCAATGTATATATCATACATACAAAACTGTATAATACATATGTACATGTTTATCATGTTTTGGTCATCCTTTTGCCAGATATGTCACCAAAATGATTCAGCTGAAATGCTGCTGACTGGTAGACTGTATTCAGCCCAGGGTCTTCTATCAGCATCCTTTGAAATCAGCCATGGCCAGGACGTGGTGTGTACATTGTCCGGCATCTCATGGAATCATTTAGAGCTGCGGCTGCCACCCGCGGACGCAACGCTGGGTCAACTGCACTTGCTGGTGAAAGATTTGTCCATGAATGGCACCTCAGTGGCAAAGTTTCAGATGTTCGGCATCCAAGTGATTGGGTCCTGATTTGTTCCTAGTCAAGTAAGAAGAGAGTTGCAGAAAAGATGGAAACAGTTGTTCCCTACTCGTACTATTGTTGATGGTGATTGATGTGTCTATTTTTCCAGGGGATCGTCCCATTATTTGTTGGTAAATTCTGGGACGTGGCCCCTTGGTGGTGATCCAGATGCTGAAATTCCTGCACGCAAAGCATGGCTGGTTACCGGTTGCCGCAGATATGCCAGGAGCGATAGGAATGGAATGAAATTATGAAATGCACAGTGATGGTTTCTCTTGCATTCATTCTTGAGGCATTCTTGAGGCATTTTACACTTTCCGTATCCTATCAGTCTTTTACTTTTACAAAACAGATTTGTACCAGGTTGCAGCTTGTCATATCAGGAACTGGGGTGAGATTGAGCCCAACGTCACAGCTACAGAAAGTGCCCAAGGACACTGAAATGCAGCCACTCAGTGGCAGTTAACCCCCACAGGCGGAAGGTGCTCGCGGATGCTTGCGCACCAAGGTTGACAGATGGAGGGGCTATCTCAGTGCCAGTGCGCAAGCCCAAGTCCAAGGGGAATGAGGAGCCTAAGCAGCTAATGATCCAGGATGGCGGATTTCATTCAAATCACAGCATGCTCGAAGGAACTGCATGGGCCAATACACTCATTGCTTAAGTCTTTGAACAAAAGGACCATGATGACCATGCAGGAAGTAGCGTTTAGACAAGATCAGTTTTTTTTGCCGTTTTGCAACACAAACATGGGGTACAAGCATGGTTTACAAAACATCACATGCAGGCATGTTGTTCAGCATTTTTCGGGGGATCCACCAGGAGCAAGATGTCATTCAGCAGAGCTTCATGGTGAAACTGGAGCCCACCTCTCTCCAAGAGCTGCCGCCGAATGCACCTGCGGCGCCTGCAGTGAAGAGACCTGCGCAGACACAAGCAGGTCGATCTCTGGCTGCCACTCCTGACCCAAAAAGCAGGGATGGGGGGATGGGGTTGTTATGGGTTGTTGTACAGAATTGAGCCCACCTCGTCGCAGGAAACGTGCCCAAGAAGCAAGCGACAGATCAAGTGCTCCCTGAGAGCTGCACCCAGCGACTAGCCAAGGGCGAGGCTTTAGTGCCCCTTGGCCGCCTTCGGTATCCAAACCTGTAGGAAAGTACCATCCAGTGATGGCGTGGGACTGTGGGACCCCTGGTATTGTGAATGGTGGCAGCACTGCCAAAAGCCAGTATCCTTTGAGAATCTTTGAGAAAGATATATGTTGCAGATGTTGCACTATACTCTTGTGTGGTCCTCCCTGTGTATGAACAGCTTGCCCGTGTTTTTTTATATTTCTCTCGGTACATTTCTCTACCTCTCTGTTTGGATATGCAATGTATGATATGTATATCTATCCGTTTTCCCATGTTTCTACAGTATGCGGAAACGTCTTGTAAACCCATACTTTAGGCCAGCCACTTTGGTTCAGGATATCCTCCAACAAGGGTCACCGCCCTTCGACTTTGTAGGCTATAGCGGCTATATAACACCCTGCAGTAGGCAAACATGGCACTGGAAATCCTTCTCATCCCCATTCTTTCAAGATTTCATCCTCTCCAAATGGGACTTGTTCCCTTTCCACTCCTCAACAAAAATACCAAACAGATGTCAAAATGTTTTGGCCCATTTTTCCTCCAACCAGCCATATCCCAAGAAAAAACTGTGCACTGTGCACCTCCAAAAAGAAAACCTGCAGGAAATCGGCGCGCCAAGCCGAAAGCCGTGGTCTCCTCATCGAGGCTTTAGCCTGCTATCGCCGGGGCTTGCAGCATTTGATCCGCGTCCTACCTGTGCTGGACAGCGGTTAACCACAGACGGTGACCACGGTGTTTAAAGGTCATTGTTAGTCCCTATAAGTCACCCGTTTACTACATCACCCGTTTGCAGATGATGTCCATTGCTTTTCTTCATTGTTTCCATCAAGAATGGTGATTTCCTAGGTTTGCATCCCTTCAACAAAATTCAACAAACAGAATTTCACCACAGCCACGAAGTCGATGATTTCGCAGGAGAGGGGCAACGCCCTGCTGGCGCCGGCGCAGAAGATGGTCCGGGACAACTTGGAACGGGCAGCCCTGGTGAAGGAGCGGCAGAACCGACTGAAGCAAGCCGAGGTGGAGCTTCCCTAAGATCGATGGGCCAGTGGAAAACGTCATGCTGCCAGTGGAGGGAGCGGTGAGTGGAAACTAAAAATCACATGGGGAGCCGGTTGGAGCTATGAATCGAGTTTCTAAAGCACAATGATAGTATGGAAAATATGGAATCCATCACCATTAGAATTTCAGCTATAGAATAATAGGTACATCATCGGACCATTGCTGGGCTTTAGCTTCCATAACAAAGTGTTGAATTACGGGTGGTTGGAAGGTGAGCTGTATTTTCAGGGGGGTTGAAGTTAATGTGCCTAATGTTTTGTTATTCAGATGTATATACCGTACGTATCTGTGCGTATGCTATTTAAATCTATTTAAATATTGTGCTTATTGTTCTTGTTGTTTATTTAATGTGTTATTGTTCTCATTGATATTGTTGATGTATTTTTATATTTGCATGCCATATTGTATGATATATTACTAGTTTGTTGTGATCATTATTACTGATATAACTATATAATGATATATATATATATAAATAAATAAATCATATATCCTTTAAACTCAATTGGAAACTGTGTTCTACGTTATCCAGTGTTTGTCGCTTGCTGCAATGTCTAACTTGAGGTTTCGCTTGTGCGTTATTGATAGGCCGCTTTTGCTCAGTGAGTCTGGGTTGTTTTTGATATTGGCAGCGAAGCAGCCTCATGACTTCCTGGTAACTAAACAAGTATGGCTGGCCGCAAAATCCACATGTGGAATTCCACAGTGTGACACTCATCTACCAAGGGTGGAATTCCACTGCTATTTTAGAGAGTAATCCGCCACTACCGTCAGCAGCTTGTGTTCGGTCAGTTCAGGTTGCTGGGTCAAGTTGATTTTTTTTGGAATGCCACTATCTGGGTGTAGCGATTGGTGATCAAACCAAGCAACTGCAAAGCAATCGACGGGATTGAAGAATTTGAAGGAGAGATCTTTTCTAATGACCACTCGTGACAGAATAATTTCATGATTCCTTCAAACTTGCAAAGTTCATGAGACCCATGAAAAGTCTGACCATGGCACGTGCTAAAAGTGACAGGTCGGAATGCAATCAAGTGCAAACGATGCAAAGGGCGCGGCCTTTTTGCAGGCAAAATGCTTGGGTCAAGTGGCCACTGCGAGGCTTGCAATCAGTGCATGTCCATGAAATGCAAATGGAATGATTGGGATGTCAACTCATGCGCTGCATCTTAGTGGGACAACTCACACTCCCAATGTTCTGTTGATTGACATTCCCTTTGCCTTCATGGAGCTGGATCCACGGCCGCTGGAGCCATTCGAAGAAGTCCAGCATCAATTGCATGCTCACTTTTGTGAGTCCATCTGCAAACATAAGGGCCGTTGGAACCCAAAAAACGTTCTGGCGACTGAGAAACTGTTGTGCCGATCGTATTGTTACGATCGTTCTTTTGTCCTCTGTTCGAGGGTTTTCGCTGACCAGCACGTCGTACAATGACCTACAATCTGTCACCTGAATCATTCTCAAAAGTTCACTGGATGCTATGTGAAACGCAGGCCGGTTCAGAAGCAATTCGCTCAGCTGATAGTTCAGGAGTGAAGATCGGTCCACGGACATGTCGCATGCAGATGCCTCTGCCGCCAAAGTACTTCGGCACACTCGCGTGGATCGCGAAGATTTCCAATCCAAAATTAAACCAGCTCCAATGACGTCTGTCACCTTAGGGTCTGCCAGCATCGTGATGCAACCATGTTGAGAGGAATGATTTACAGAGTTCGCCCATGATGAATCTGCAAAGGTCACCAGCATCGTGCTGTAGTTGATGGGTACTGGTCGCAGTACAAGTCCTTTTGTTTTGGTCTGGTGCAGGTGCTGAACGGCGCAGTACATGTTGTGAAGATCCTCGTAGGTGGATTTCTCTCCCTTACTGCAAAGGCTCACAACTGCTGCAACATCAGGTCTGGTTTGACCTGCAAGCCACTGCAAACATCCAGACACACTTCGGAATTCTCCAAGGTCTTTCTTGTCCAGGGTTTCCTTGAAGCGTTTCCTGGAAACTTTTCCACCTTTCATGTCTGAGATGAACTTCTCCTGGTCGAGCTTGAGGATATACTCACTGGATTTGGCGTCATACTCCAGGGAGATCCTTTTGCCCTTGAAGTCCAGGCTGTTTTCAAGGCTCAATTCGTTTTGACTTCCCAACTTAAACAGGCCCAAAAGATGTTGACGATCATATCGGGTGTCGTGGCAAAGAAGGAAGTCACCTACATATACTATAGCAAGTGCACATAGAACAGGTTGAGCCTCATTCTCAAACTTCTGGTGGTAGAAAAACAGCATCTTATCCATGGAGCTTTGCACATAGCCAGCTTTGGTTAGCAGCTTGATGACGTGTAGCTGCCACGTTCTCGGTGCATTGGCTAACCCATACACATTTCCAGTCACCTCATACAGCATGGATGATTTGAAGATGCCAGCTCGTTGGCATATTCCATCGCTAGGAGGCAGAAGGTAAAGGGGCTGTGCTCTTTCTTCGGGTTCACCTTGAAGGAAGGCCGTTTTGACATCGCCTGCCCACAAAGTCCATCTCGCCAATGCGCATCCCAAAAACTTCCCATTCTTGCCGGCAATGAAAATGGCATAGACAAGGAACTCTGACTGTCTGGTCGGAGTTGCTGATTCTCTCTGCAAAATCCATAGGTCTGGATCTGTGCATCCAACCGCAACGATGCGGCATTTGGCTTTCAAGGGGCCAATCCCGCGGGACTTGTCGCGGAAAGCTGCTCGTGATCGCAGCACTCTCTTTCTTGCAATCTTGTCTCTCAAAATCGCTCTGGCTTTCTCAATGGGCACTGGCTTCACTGAGTTGAAGGTGTTCCATGAAGTCTCCTCAGCTACTGCAGCGTCCACATAAGCTTTGATTGTTTCCTCCTCCATGTTCATGATGGTCTGCCATGGGATCTCCTTGTCCAATGCTTTCTTTTCCTGACGGGTCAGTGTTGGTGGAATGTTGCCCGTCTCACCGCGGTAGTCATCTACATCCGCATCTGAGTCATCACTGTCGCCATTGCCAACATAGTCTTTGTCCTTGCGGTAGGCATTCATGAAGGTGCGGTTGGCATAGGGCATATAGACATCTGGTGATCCATCAAAACCATCGCTCATCAAATGGAGGCCATCAACGTCGTTGATGTCAAAATTGTAGCAGTGATCCACTGTTGGGAATGAATTCTTTGACTGTTCATGTTGAACTGGTCGTAAAAGTGAAACTCCAAAATGCTCCTCTGTCTCGCCAAAGGTGCGTTTCGCTGGTGTCAACTTCAGAGCTTCTGGTGTTGACGGCGCCTGGTTTGCAACGTCTGCTGCAATGCCCTGGGAGTCTGGTGCCAAGGCATGAGAAGAAGAGGGCTGTGCTGTGGAAGGTTGCGCAGCCACGTTTTCATCATCATCATCCAAAACTTCAATCACATCGGTGGGTGTTGATGTTGGAAGCCCTCGTAGAGGTGGTGTTTCATCTCCAGTTGATCTTGCATTAGGTTGTGCTAAAAAAAGGTTTACCTACTGACTGTGGCACTGAATCAGGTTCATGCGATTGCACTGGAAAAGGTCCTAAAGGCTGTTGCACTGAAGGAGGTCCATGTTGTCGCTCTGAAACAGGTCCATCTGTCAGTGGAAGTTGTCTTGCGGCTCGAGGCCGTTCACCAAGTTGATCTTGCAAAGTCCGTCGGACTGGAGTCTTGGATCTTGCTCTGTGAGGCTTCCGCACTGGCACATTCACAGATGGCTGTACCTGTTGTTGCTCATTCATGCCGAAGGTCTGGTTCTGAATGATGGTCTGTCGGTATGTTGGTGAGCTCACATTCATATGGATGTTGGTCTCTGGGTATGGATCTGTCTGCACTGCTTCCTCAGCTTGCAAGTCAGGAAGGTGAGGTGTTGATGCAGCAGGTCTTGGCGTTGAAGGAACTGGTATCAGGTGAGCACCAGCTTCTTCAAACATCTCAGGTTCCTCATGGAGTGGTGGTGGAACCTGCACTGCGGGTTGAACTTCGTCAAAGCCCGGTAGTTGTTGATCTGCATGTTCAGGCAAGGTCTCATCTGTAAGGATGCCATGTTGCATGTTGTCAACTGCAGATCGGAGGCTTTTCACATCTTCAGGGCTAGGGCACCATTGCTCAATGCCGACAGCTGCTCTGATCTGGTGCTCGGCGGCCTTGATGGTGTTCGTGCCGGCTTGCAACCAAATAGATTTTCCATCAGGGTCTCTACCCAACACTCTGGCCAACTTGAAACCTCCGCGCTTCTTGCCGGAGCGCATGGTCCATCTCCAGTAGGCTGCTATGGATCCCACTGGTAATTCTTGAGGTCCAGTTGTAGTTGATTTTCGCAGCAGTGCTCTCCTCAGACTGCTGTCAACGCTCATTGCGGCCAAATGTTGTTGAGCTTCAACTCTGAGATAGTCAGCTTCACGTTGAGCTTGTTCACGGGTCCTCCCAGCAACCAAGCCATGCTTGTCAGAAAGAAGGTTCATCCCCATTCGTGGGATTCTTCCAAAAGCTGCTATGAAAGGAGGTCTGCCCGACGACCATGTTGTGGAGTTCTTTGCAAAGCATGCTGCAACTGCTGCTTGCTCCATGTCATAGTCTCCAACAACAGCTCGTGAGTCTATGGTGCGTTCCATCAGCTCACGCAAGGTCGCGTTGTGCCTCTCGATGAGCCCAATGCGATGGTGAGCTTCAGCTGGGATGTAGTCCATGTAGACGCCAGCTTCATCCATAGAAGACTCAAATGAGCCTCGGAAGCTCCCATCAGGATCAGCTTTGATCTTCAAAGGAAATCCAAAAGCTCTCGCCCAAAAGGTTGTGAACTGGTGGGTGACTTCTTCAGGGCTGCGATCGTTGAGTCGTAGTGCCATGTGGAGGTGAGTGCACTCGTCAATGATGCTCAAAAAGATGTAGTTTGCTGCTCTGATATCTCTGGTGTAGAAGATGTCAATTTGCAGAATGTCACCAAATTGCCAGTTCACCTCATGTGGAACTCCAGAAGGTTCGGGACGACCAGGCCCTTTGACTCGCACGCAAGAGTCACAGTGGAGTCCTTCAATGGCGTCGTAGATCTTTTGGTCCTTGATGCCATTCATGGCAATCATCTTCTTCAACTCGTTGGCATGTGGGTGACCAAGGTTTCGATGAAGCCTGGCCAGTGCAGTCTTGACATCTCGTGGAAGTCCAGGCATCTTTGGAAAAGTGATGCCTTGCACATTGGAAGCAACTATCACCTGTGGGTCATCTTCTCGTGGTTCTAAAGGCAGTTGCACTGAAGAAGGTTGTGATGATGGAGGTTGCTGGACAGGTGGTTGCGCATGGCCAAAGAAAAAGATGCCAATGTTGACTGGCTTTCTGAACTTGGCCCTTGGATGTCTCACTTCTGCCAGGTCCTCTTCCACAATCTCAACAGTGTTGTCGTTGTAGAGAAGTGCCCATCCACGGTGGGTATGTGGTATATGCACAGGCATTCGCAGTAAAGTTGGTTGAGCTGCCATCTGCACTCTGTCAAGTTGATGCCATTGAACAAGTTGTTGAATGGTCTTCCAGGCAGGGTCTGATGTAGCCAGAAGGTGGGTCTTCTGACGTATTGTGTCGAAGGTCTTCCTGGCTGACTCAAACACTGGGGCCCAATCTGAAGGTTCAGTTGTGACGGCCATCACCTGGAAGTTGGATTTGTGTTGATGTCCAAAAAAACGTTCAGGGTCATGCTGGGCTGCTGTCTGCTTGATGCCAATCAAGATCTCACGGATCATGTTGTCGGGGTAGTGTTGTGACAAAGTTGTCTCCTTCCCCTCCAAAGGCACGCACTGTCGAAGTTGATGTGGATCAAGCTTCCGGGTCAGTCGGTCTAAGACCAATGGACAGTTGCCCAAGAACTTGAAGCCTTTCTTGATCATGTCGCCTTTGGAGTTTGTTGCCCCGTAGGCACCTGAGTGGCACACCACAGCGTAGACACCTGGTAGTCGAAGAAGTCGTAAAATCAGAGGTTCAAGCCACAACCGGCTTGTCACTGGGTTCTCCAAAAGGAAATAGCGGCCAGCTTCTGCCTGCTTGCAACACCAGTCCACCACTTTTCGCAGCAACTTTCGTGCTCTTGCCCTTCTCATCAAAAGGATGATCTTCCGCCGCACGTAGTTCACGTTGTCTTGCAGAAGACACCAGTCTTTGCATTCTAGGCCTTGGAGAAGGAACAAAGGCTTGTAGCTGTCGATCAGATGGTCTACATGTCGTTGGTGTTGAGGTCTTTCAAGGTCATATCCGGTGTTGTAGTCAATGGGCTCCATAGACTTCAAGCCGAAACGCGCTGCACGTCTTGAAATTCCGGCTTGACCAGCAAAAGTCTCAAGCAGGTCGATGCGTGGCCTCATACGCAAGGAAGTCAAAGGTGAGGTTGAGGTAGTGCCATTCTGCAGGATCTGATGCTCAACTTCAAACACATGCACTGCTTGTCGTACAGAGTGTCGCATGCTCTTGCGGTCTGCATGAGTCATCAGAGTTCTGCTTGGCATCGGCTTCAGTCTGAAGGTTGATGTCCCAGTCCAAAAGTGCTTCATTTCAGATGCCCCGGGCCCGTCCCATTCATATGTGACTGACTGGGTCCTGCCATCTTCATATTGCATAACAACAGTGCACTCCGGCCCAAGTTGTTTCATATGCACTGGACATGGGTCACCTTTGTAAAACTCATCCGCATAGAACAACTGCTTTCTGGGAATGTTGTGGATCCGCATCACAGTTGTTTTCCCTACCACCCACTCATCGTTCAGCGAAGGTTCTGTGCCTCCACCTCCCCCGCATCCCAATCCATCTCCCAGCTTGGGTAACCATCCTCCCCTCCGTCCGACTCCGGTGGGTAGGCTGCTGGGTCCCAGGTCTCCTCCACCAAGGTCATGTCGGGGTCGGTGATCGGCAAGATGACCGGTCTGGCCTTGGCACGGGCTTTCGATGCCGTAGTTCTCGTAGAAGAAGTCTTGCCCTTGCCCTTGCCTTTCGTCATGCCCGTGGTGGTGGTCAGGATGTTGGAAGATGAGGGCGGTGGCAAGTGCGAAGAAGCTCGCGACCGCGGATCGCCATGGGGTCGCCAACCTTCTTGGAGTGGATCCCATTTGAACACCTGCCGACATCTCTTGCATTGGCTGAAACTTCCGTGGACGTTGCCGTACCTCTTGAAGTCTGGGTGCATGCAAGTTGCCGGGTTGCACATGCTGCTCACCGGCACCAGCTGCTTCTTCTGGCGCTCCATCTCTTCCACATGCTCTGGAAGGCTCAGCCACTGACGTGTGGCAAGTCCCATGCGCACCAAGGTCGCCATCATATGGTACGTCCTGAGCTCCACAGTCAGCAGGAGGATGTAGATCCGCTCCCAGCGCTTCAGCCATGTGGGACATGTTTGGTGCCGAAACATCAGGTCGCAAAAGTTGCTGGGGCGGTAGGTCACGAATTGAGCCCTTGTTGAGAGCTCCGGGTGCACAAACAAGCTCTGGGTCAGGATCATGCCAAAGATGTGGTTTTGAAAGTTGTGCCCAGCATGCATGTTGTGCTGCATCATCTGAAAACTTCACAATACTCACTGCAAGATGTCCATGTTTGATGGTCAAAGGCAAAACTACTCCCAAATTGGTGAAGGTGATGGTGCCGCTAAACATGTCAATCACGCAACCCAATCTTGAAAGCAAAGTGCGACTTGCCAAAAAAGGAATGTTGGATTTGAGGATGCTGGCTCCCAAAAGAACACCCTGAGATTCCTGGCCTTGAAACTGCGCTGGAATGTAGGCTCTTTCCGCAGCTGCCACTGGCTTGCCTGAGCCGAACTGAAAGTGATCCACGCAGTCAAACTTTTTGACACGAAGACCATGTCGATGCAGGATGTTGGAGTGGGTGTTCAACCAAATTTCACCACAACATGAACGCTGACATGCAGTATCTAAAACCATGTAGCCCCCGAGGTCAATGGTTTCTGCCACCCATGATGTTGAAGTTTCTGTCCCAAACGCTTCTTGCATTGCAGTAAAAGAAAAATAGGTGGAGGCTTTCTCGGGTGCTAGATGATCTTGTTCATCATGTTGCTGCTGATCTTCCTGAATTCCAACCACATAGGCTTTCTTGACTCCCTTGTGACCGGAATTGAAGTTGTTGCTAGATGAAGTACCTGAACCACGGGCACCTTTTCCACCGCCATCTCGCTTCTGCGATGAAACTGAGCAGATAGAGTCACCTGCCCAATGGCCCAATTGGCCGCAAGCTGAACACGTGCTGTTCTTCTTTCTCTCCTCAATGGAGCGTCTTCCAGTAAATTTCCTTCCCAACACTGAAGCTTGCAACTTCTTGCTGGTGACTGTCAGCACGTGTGCCATCTCTGCAAGTGCCTCAGGGTCAAGTGCAGGAGTATCTTCATCTCCTTCTTCATCTTGCTCTGGGTCTCCCTCTGGGATTGTATCAAGCACTGCATCGCCATCTTCGGCGTCTTGATACTCATCATCTTCATCTCCATCTACCTCATCTGCCTCGGCTTCTGCAGTTTCCGTTTGGAAAACATTTCGAAGTGGACCTTTGCCAGCATGACCTTTGCCATGAGAAAACGGCTTGGACGAATTCCCACTGCTAGGCTTGCCTTTGCTCGAAGCTGAAGAGGTTCTGAAAGATCCGGATGAAGAGCTGCCAGATCCAGTTGTTGATGCTGATGAGTGCTGTCCACGGGGTCCTCCGCCAGTCTGCCAAACAACAGGGTTGGGCTTGAAGTCAGGGAACTGCAGGCAAAGTGACTCCGTGATCTTCTCGTACTCCAAGGAGTTGCCAGCACCAATCAACACCAAACGTTGCAAATCTGGGGCCAAAGCGCAGCGCTCAAGGATGCGATTGCCACGGGATTCACTGTCGTACATCATGCTTGTCTGAATCCCGATGGTTTGCAAGTCTCTCTCAATTCGGCGGTACCTGTTGACGTACTGCCGCACTGATTCAGCTCCATGACGTCGCACATTCTCGAAGTCTGCAAGGAGCTTGCGCTTCTGGAAAAGCACTTTCTGTTGCAAGGGGCCTCGGAGTTCATCCAAAATGTACTCCACGCCATTCTTTTCGTTGATCTTCTTCAGGTCAAGGTGCTCGGCTTCGGCTTCAGCTTCACCTTGCAATGAGGTGTACAAGGTGAGTGCCATCTCAGCTTGAGTCATATAGTTCTTAGCTTGAAGCACCCAAGTCTGCACCTTGCGCTCGTACTTGGAAAAGGCTCGAAGGTCGGACTGTTGGTAAGTCCATTTTGGAGGTGCTGGAGCTGCTCCACCACGCCAACGTACACCTGGAGCGGGACCACGTTGTGTGTTCCAGGAAGCTTCACTTCCATGCTTGTACTTCTTCTCATCCAGCAATTGGCGCATGACGCTCAGCATCTCATTGGAACTGCTCGGAGTTGCGTGTTGGGCTCGTTCAGAAGGGTCGTTGCAAGGAACCGCATCATCTGGAAGGTCTGCATGATGTTGTCCAATCTCGGAAGCGCTGCTGCGAGATCCACCACGTCGGCGGCGTCGCCGGCGACCACCAGAGAGCGAGTCGTCAGGGTCAATGACAGGGTCGTGAGTCACCGTTTCACTCTCAGCCCACTCAGAGTCAGCATGACTAGGTGGTGGACCAGGGAACGGCTTTGGGGCTCCAAACAACCGCTGGTCATTTCTAACATCTTTGGGGGATCTGCCAGGGGAATCGCTAAGGGACCCTTGACACCTTTTCGAATCCTCATCTGGAGATCCAGCTGCAGAGGAAGGGCTATGAGGGACATACATCCAAACACCAGTAGAGGTTTCCATCTTTGTAGGTTGGCTCACATCAAAGAATTCCAAACCACCACAGTTTTGACATACGTATCCAACCTCGCTATCCCAAATCCAGCTAGCAGCTCGGCACGTTATGCAACGCCAACGGCTCCCAGTCACAGGTCCTAGGTCACCTGGAGGTGCATCATTGGAATCGCTGGCCAGAAAGCGTCTCTCCTCGGCAGCGAGCTCAGAAGGGGTCCAGTCCAGGCTCTCTTCGCTGAACAGGTCAAACTCATCCTCCAGGCTTCGGCTCCGGTGCCAACTGACCATGGCACGTGCTAAAAGTGACAGGTCGGAATGCAATCAAGTGCAAACGATGCAAAGGGCGCGGCCTTTTTGCAGGCAAAATGCTTGGGTCAAGTGGCCACTGCGAGGCTTGCAATCAGTGCATGTCCATGAAATGCAAATGGAATGATTGGGATGTCAACTCATGCGCTGCATCTTAGTGGGACAACTCACAAAAAGAAGTAGATAGATATGATATATTTATAAATATTTAATACTATTTATATATGTATATAATACATACATATATATATATATACACACATATATCCAAACATCCGCGGTTGACGTTTCAGGGGTCTGGGCTCAAGCCACCCCACCAACTGTGGCCTGGAGCTCTTCTGGGTCACTACAGCGCCTGTTGGGCGCTCAACGAAGTGAACGCTGGCGCAGCCAAGCAGCGCAGCCAGCCATGTTCAAGGCCATTGGATTGGGGATTTACCCTTTGGTTATTTAACATATACCCTGTAACATTGGCATTTTGGGTTGGTTAGCCCCTTTATAAAAATATGACCCGCTGGTTATATTTAACACAGCCATGGTATAGATGGCCCATAGAAATAGATGACTTTCCCAGCTAGAAACCTCCATTTATGTTTGGGATTTTCCATGGCTATGTTAAATAACCAGATGGTAAAGCACCAAAAAGCGATGTCATCTGCAAACATGGCAACCCCCTACTTGGCTTACTTATTTGAATAGCTTATGGGGTTGAGAGGGTTTTGGGGGTGCGTGATCCAGGGTAGACATTAAATGTTTGATTTGATGCCCTCTAACATAAACAGACTATCATAGCCCCAAGACGCCCTGTCCAGGCAATATTCCCCTTCATGTTCCTCGGGACCTATGTTCCAGTCTTGGGAATCCTGGTAAGAGAGCCCCAAGACAAGACAGCCAGCGAAGCCAGTGCCAAAGTGCTCACGGAAGGCGGTAGCGGAGGTAGCGATAGCTCCCATTTGAACTACTTGAGATACCAAAATGGCACCATCGAGAACTTTGGCAGTTGCTCTTCTGCTTGTCAAAAGTGCTTCCTGGATCATTTTCAGGCTTGCCTCGCCTATTGCAGAAAGGGCTGCCAGGAGTATTGCGAGGAAAAGCTTTCGGAGGAGGAATGCAAAGATGAAAATCCAGATGAAGAGTGGCTGGCCAATGAAGTCAAAGATTTTCCTCTTTCCAACCCAGAACGATGATCCAAAATGTGACATCAACTACACAACTTGTTTTTTTGGGCCAGCAACCAGCCCAACCAGCCACCCTCAGCACCCAGGTGGGTGGCCAAAATTGGCAGCCTCTTTGACGTCATGAGCAATCCATCTGGGAGAATGTGTCAGTTCAATGCCCCTGACGGCTGCCCAGAGCTGGGTGGTGAGCAGGCCAGCACGACGTATCCCTTGCCCAGTGGGCCCTACCTCACTGAGGGACGACTCGGCTGGGTGCTGAGTTTGGGGTTGGCAACATACCTGGCTGGTGGTTTCAACATGTTGCAGGTTTGAATGACAAATGAATGTAACTATCGAGCAGGAAGTCCACGGAAACGCACTCAACGAAATATAACGAAATGCTGCGTCTTCCAGATAGTCTGTCTTCTGAAATGATTACATAATACACGCGATATATATGTATTATGTGTGTGTGTTTGCGTGTGTGTGTGTGCGTGTGATATAATATGGTATAATATATTACATTTCTCTCTCTCTTTCTCTGTGTTGTTTCTACTTTCAGTGCTGCCTACGAGACGATGAGTCCACTTGCTTTATACGGGTCCAATAGCAGTACCAGGCAAATATCCCATTGAATGATGCCAGTTGCGAGCCGAAACTCCCCAAAATCATCGGCTTTTCCCACGGCCGATGGAAGGATGCTCTTTAAGCTATGATCGATATAGGGCTGTGGATGGATATGGCTGTGGGTCAAAATTTGAGAACTTAGAAACCACCCGAAATCATGGATGCGAATTGTTCAGATTTCTTCAATAGCCGTGACCCATTGGCTGAGAGACCCCACCCCTGGATTACCAAGGCAGCCACGGCAAGGCCATGAAGTGAGGCGAGCACCGCTGACCGGAGAGAACGGTCAGATGTCATCGCGAGTTTGAAAAGGGGTCCCTCCTTGAAGTGTTCAGGAGAAACCATGCTTTGCTGATATGATATGATTCTGATATGATATGATAACAGATGTGGGAATTATTGTGACTTGGGTGCAGATAAATTCCAGGACAACAGTGATCCAACTGGCTGGTCTTTGTTTTGTCATGTTCCGTCACCAATAAAGATGTCTGAATCAGGTGCATGACAATGGTTATGATGTGCCACCTTAGACCACTGGTCTATGTGTCATGGTCAAAAGAGTTTGACTATGTACTTGGGATGGTAGTGGTCATACCATGTAATGGGGCATACCACCATTAATAGGCAATTATTGTAGCCAACATGAGGAATCCCAATGATCAGGGGAGGACTATAACCCATATACCAATTGTTGACCATGGCACATACAGAGAACAATGTCCAACAAGGTGCCTCTTCTCCAAAGGGTCCCAGCAAGGCCCCGCAAGCTTCCAACAGAATTTCCCGGTGTTGGGTCATGTGGGGTCCATGTGGGTCAGAATGAATGATAGCTGGTGGTTTCAAACATGCTCCAAAAAAATGATCCCTGTCCCCATCGTACCTGATATATCGGTGATCACCCCAACCGAGCGTCATATTTTTTTGGGTTTTGTGGGGGATGGAAAGCTCAACCAGGGTTTTTCCAAGAACACGTGCAGAGTTCACTGCCTTCGTTTTTGATGCAACCGTTGCATCGGGTTTCCCCCCAGTGAGTGACCCTGGTCCAAGGCCCCACATCCTCAAGATGCGATTTGCCACACCTCCTGGTCAGAAGCACCTGGCGCCTTGGACTGATATCTAGGGCTGGGAAGCACTCCCTTTTATAGGCACGAACCAGGCACCTTACAGTACAATGATAATATATAGTCATACTGCACGTGAGATATGTATATAATAGAATCATTGGCAGTCATTGGCACTGCCCATCAATCTTTTCATAGATTCGTACCTCCAAACTGTCGTTGGTTCAATTCGGTGATTGTGAGGCACATACCAAATTTGACACTGTGCGGTTGTTTGCTTTTGAGTTGGCGTTAAACTGCTGGCAAAAGATGCTTGAACTATATCGATGTTGCTCCGATCTCTCAAGTTTGTTTGGTTTGAGGATTTAACATTTTCATACATTTTGGAGATATAAATTGATATACCCTCTGGTAATGTAACGGTTCGCTATGGAAAATCACCATGTTAAATAGGTACATCATCATGTTTATCATCTATAAATAGGCCATGGACTCGTTCAGTCTCCATCGCCCAGGATGTGCAGATCGAGTACCTCTGCTGGATATGCTGGGCTGGTGATGTTCAAAAATCATTCATTGAATGGTGATTCTGGCATAACCCCCCCTCAAAAAGAAATGGTAAATTAATCAATTGTGATTTGGTGGTTTTGGTGACGTTCATACCTCCATATACCTCCCAAAAGCACAGGTGGTTTTGCGGAGCTCGCGTGTGTGTGGACACAATGAGATGGGTTAGAAAAACGGGGTGTCACTCTGCGGATGATTTGTCATCTTTAAACCATTTTTAGATAAAGCGTGAAACAACGACGCACATGCTGCATTTGGAGCACTTCCCCCTGTTTTGGCAGTCCCATATTGGTGGCTTCTCTTCTCATTCCCATGGATCAACCAGCCCGCAGCATCCGGAGGGGTCTGGGTCTGGATCAATGATCTTGGATTTTGAAAAATGGTTATAACCACTGAATTTCCTGCCAGCTGTTTTTCAAAATGTTCAAAATATGTTCAAAACCAGTCACATGACAGTCGCATATGACGTCAGCTTTCTGTGGGCCCATGGGCCCCGTCGCCGAGGTTTCGCTTCACATGCTCCACTTGTGGGGGTTTCGCAACCTTCACAGCCTTTGGACAGGTGCAGATGTGCACCCCTCAGCGCAAAGCGCAGGGCAGTGCTTGCTGGAACTGAAAAGTATGAGATGAGATGGAAATAATAAGATGATCTGTTCATTTTTTCGTTTTTATTGGTTGTATATTTTTCTTGCTGGTATTGAAAAGCGCAAGTTATATTCAATTTATGGATACTTTCGGGGGTTGACGATGGCTTTCAGGGGTTTACTGCCTGTGTGCGTCTAGATGGTCAGCTTCTGGGGGGAAGTCTCGATCGGCTCCTGCGGATGGCTCAGCTATCGATTAATTAAAAAAATCAGAACTTGGGGGCATGCACACTGCATCTTCAAGTTTTTGATCTGGCCGGTGGTTTTAAACATGTTCATTTTTGATTTTCAACCATATTCGGTTTTGGGATGATATGATGAACCCCAATGATGAAGACTTCAGGAGTGGGTTGAAATGTGCAGTCCATTTTCTCAACGATCCTCCTATCCAACCAAATATATCCAAATATCCTGACTTTCCCAAAATTATCAAACTATCCCCTAACTTTCAGTTACATACATCATATTCTCCAATTTTTCTCGTTTTTTTTTCAGTTTTCCTACGCCTCGAGGGTGCATAGCAACCCAGTCACCAGTCACAGCTTCATCCCCCCGGGGGCCTCGCATGCTCTCCCCATGCCTCTGACGCCCGCGTCTCCGGCTCGGCGGAGCTTGGAAGCAGAGCTATTTAGCCCTTATGGGGCTGAACAATCAGCAGCTGGGCAGGGAAACTATCATCATTGGATTGTTATCAATTATATATTCATATATATATATATCTATATATATATATATATCTGTGTATATATATATACATATTTTTTTTAAAAAAAAAATCCTAATATGTTATGTCCTATATAATTATCTCCAAGTATGCTATTCCTTTTGAACATCCATGGAATATGCGTAGGAAACGATGGTATTGATGGGTTTTAATATGTTTTACAATCATTGGTAATCGAATTTGCCGCTTTTCTGTCTATGTGTTTTTCTTCACGTCCAGGAACGGACTGTACTTTCTCATATTCTCAACATAGCGTCGCTTGCTGGAAATTTTACCATGTTCAAAGCATTGCACCATTTTCAAAAATAAAATAAAGAAATTGGTGTGATTTTGGCAAGGCCATGTTCTGTATCCAGAGGGTGCTGTAACTGTATAATCTAGTTTGTTCTTGTGTTTTGTCTATTTTTTGTCTCTTTAAACGTTCCGTTTGCTCTCATTCTTCACCTGTTTGTCGAGCCAGGTGGAATACCTTTGCCAGAAATATGAGGCCTTGCAAAAACAGCTGGCCTCGGTGGAGCGAAATTGCGCTGAGCAAGTGCAACGTCAAGAGTTGTTGCAGAGGGAGCTCAGAAGTCTGCGGGATGCGCAACCGCAGGTGACGTAGACAACCCATCAACCCAACAAAAAGACACAAGAAGCTTTGTGAATCTTTGTGGATACTTTGTGGTAGCTCGGCCTCAGGAAAAAACTATGGTAGATATAATGCATTTATATATATATATATACTTTTTTAAAATATATATAATTAGTTTCATCACATTTCCACTACATCAGTACAAACCATTCTAATCATTATAATATATTATAATTATAGACCTGAGAGGAGCTTTAACACAACACAGTACTTGAATTGTGATCCCACAGGACGCTGAGCGCCATGCCTCCCTGGTGAAGCTCCGCGAGGCGGCGCGCCGCTGCCAGCAGGAGCAGCGCAGTCAGACGGGGCGCCTGGCTGAGGAACAGCTGGCGGGTGCCCGGGCGGAGCAGCGCTGCCAGCAACTGGCCGAGGAATGTCAGCAGCGGGCGCAGCGCTATGACCAAAAACTGCAGCGGCTGGCACAACAGGACGATGGATGGAAAAAAGATTAGAGAAAAGGATAGAAAAGGTATATCTAAGTATGTGTGTATATGGGGTTCATGAAAATTATGCGAACCAAAACTCGGGATCTAGTGATTTAGTTGTTTTTTTCTCCATGCATTTATATTCACATGGCAAATTTAAAGTATCCAAAATCTTGATATGAACAGGTCTGGAAAAATTAGATGGAACTCAAAAGTATCTTCAATTTCAATTTTCAATCTGGGAGATGTTGTTTCCTGCATACCTTTTTAGAACCTTGATGGTATTTGTATATTATGTATGTATGTTCTGTTTTTGTTGAGAGGTTCCAACATCAGCTGGCTGGCATATTGTTGAATAATGATGATATAGCCACCAGGAGGTTCTTCAAGCCCTGCAGGACCGGGATATCGCGATGCATCGCTTTGAGACCGTGAGCACTTCAAGGAGATTGGAACAAACACAAGCAGATGCGCAGGTTGTGCAGGAAGATTTACGCGTGGAAAGTCAGCGTCAGCTGCTGGCTCAAGGTGAGCTGCATGAGTTGGAAAAGTCACTGCAGGCGGCGTGCCATCAGCTGATGCTCTCAGATCAGGAGGTGGAGCGTTTGCAGAGGGCGCTGGCCGACAGGAAGCAGGAGGTCGGGGGACAAATCAGCGTCAATGTTGAGAAATGATTACCGTAGAAATGAACAACATCCTCCAACATCATCCAACATCAGCTTTCTTTTTGTGGCATCCCTCAGGTTTTTTTTTTGGATCGGTGCAATCCTTGCACAGCTGATTTCACAAGCGGTCAACTTCAAGGGTTTGCCCAGTATCCATTCTCCTCCAGGGCAGTTTACCAGTGAATTTTCCTGAGATTCTCAGATTCTCATAATTGTATTTAAATAATTGCGTATTATAATGCATTATATGATATATGCAAATTATATACCCCCCAGTAATTTAACAGTATTTAACACAGCTATGGAAAAATGACCCATTTATACATGATTTACTTGTCAAAAGTGGTGATTTTCCATAGTTACGTTAAATTACTAGGGGGCAATATCTATAGCAATCCTTGAGTAGATACGATTAATACGATATACTTGTATATATGTATAGGACCCCTATGGTTGTATCATTGACAAATATAGTCGAAATTGATCGGAATTAAGGATACGGACCATCCAACAATTGCCGTTGAAATCGTTATTGATCAATCTTGCTTATTTCAATATCATGTCAACCTCTACTATGATTCGCTGGCAGTTGGAATCACAATGAATCACAGTTCCGGATTGTGCACAAGTTAACTTGGTGTTCCATTCAGTTATTACCAATTGTCCCAGTATTAGCTATCGAATGTTTATATCATATATGTATATATGTATACATATCCCTCCATGTCCACATCCTTACATAGCAGAATTTAGTCTCTCAGAACAAATGCAGCCCCACATTTGATGGACAGCACATACAGACACACACACACGACATATGTATATATATAATACTCACTATCATAGTTACACTGCGTAGACTGATACATATATATATATACAGATATGTCATATATTCGAACACTATATTGAACTAGATATATAATTATATATAATTTAATCCACACTAAATTATTTGTTTATGTATTGATATCAATTTAAGACAATGATCATGTGTTTATATATTTAGCAATATATTGATATATGGATGGGTGTACCAAGATAATACAATACAATCAAAATAATGGTAAATGAACTATATGAAATATACATTTATTACTTATATTACAGTATAATTTAGCCAATGACAAACAACGATACAACATATGCAAGAATCATAAACATATATATATATATATATTAACAGATGTAAAGATAGATAGATAGATAGATAGATTGATTGATTGATAGATAGATTGATAGATAGATTGATAGATTGATAGATTGATAGATAGATAGATTCAGATAGATTCTGAGATTGATAGATAGATTCAGATAGATAGTGAGGAACATAAAAACACATATAAACACAGTGGATTTCACCATTCATATTGAAATCATATTGAAATCATGGATTTTCCCATGGCAGGTCATGGACTGCGACGCCCAGCTGCTGAGCATTTCAGAGACCTTGGACTTGGTGCAGCAGCAGAAGCAACGGCAGGCACAGAGCCTGGCACGGCTGGAAGAGGACGGGGGACTACCCTCTGGTAAACTAACATAGCTATTGAAAATGACCATAGAAATAGTGGATTTTCCCTTTAAAAATGGTGATTTTCCATAGTTTTTTGTATGTTTACCAAAGGGTAAACCTGGGAAAAATGGGAGTTCACCATCTGAACATTCTGAACATGTGGATTTTGGATTGGTTTTTTGAATTTTTACCCGCTGAAAAAATATGGGATTCTAGATGATTCCAAGTTCCAAGATGATTTCATGGAGCTTTGCCATCCATATATTAAGATGCTAAGGTGTTTCTATATATTTTTTCCAAGCAAACATGGTGATTTTTGGCGATTTGGGTGGGTTTGACTCACTAAAAATTGGAGAACTGCCACCAAAAAAATGATGTTGGGGGATGTGACAACCCAACCATGGGGGCATTGGGGAGTTTATGGGTGTTTACTGGCTAAAGCATTGGAGTGTAGGGATTCTTACCAACTGAAAATCTGGATTTAATCAATCATACCAAGATGAATGGACAATTGGAAGTGAACAAAAAAGGCGTTGTTGTGGCATAGCCGGCCAGCGTTTGAGGATTTGATCATTCTTGAGCATGTGAACTTACGTATTTAAAGATGTCAACCAAACAAAAATGGAAGGGTTCAGCCAACCAAAGATATCCAAACATGAGAACATTAACAACACATGGAGCAACCCAAAATACGGATTCGATCATATTTTGACTTGATTCAACCATGTTAGCCATCAAACAAAATATATAGTCAGCCCAAAATCTAGCCAACATGTGTGACTGCACATTTGGTGAATTGACCTTCCCTTTGTAATCTAACCTGGCAGTACTCGTGCTTGGATCTCACCAAGAGCAGCTGATTTGGTGGACTTTTCGCACAGTTACAGACCAAACGGAGAATGCTAAGCAGCAGCAGCATCATCATCATCTCGTCATCATCATCTCGTCATCATCACCCACCCTGATTTGGCTGGTGGTTTCAGACAGATGTTATTTTCTAAAACATATTTTTCCATCTAGACACGTGGGGGTACGATGAGCCACACAATTAACTTCATCATATGTTCAGAGGGTTTGACACCACGGGCCAGTGATGTGTGTAGGATTTGGTGCCACCCTGGGGCCCCCATCAGGGCCCTGTGCCCTGAAGGACTGTCAGCAGTTGGATCAGCAAATGCAGGCAGCGCAGCAGGATTTGCTACGGGGCCAGGGGCTGAACGAGCAGCAAGCAGCTGAGATCAAGTCCCAAGCAACCTTGTGTGATTCCTTGAGAGGTGGGCGTCGAAAAGATCCAACAAACTTCAACATGAATTGAGACATGTTATTGTTTTGTAGTGGTGGTAATATGGGTTTGAGAATAGGGTGCCCCAACTCTTTTGATGGTATTTGATGGTCAGAGGTTGATCATTATTCTCCAACTATCTTCACAAATATGTTGCACATTTTTGGGCTGTGCCCCATTTTCAGACCCGAGCTGACCTTGGCACCTCGTGGGATGTATCCCAAGCTGGGTGACAACTAATGATGCTCCAAGCCACCTCCGCAACCACCAACCGGTGAATTGTTCATGATCAAATCTGGGAGATTTTGATCAGCAGTTTCCCAGCTAACAATGTTTGATGAATGATTATCCTACTTGATTTGCATCCAAACATATCAAAATCCATATAAATCCGACATAATCCTATTAATTTCCATTCAATCCCTAGTTGTGGATGGTGAAATCTCCATTTCCAAACCATGTTGTAAAAATTCCAGGGCCCCTGGCAGGCGATCTTTGCCAACTGGAGAAGCAACGTTCCATGGCGCAGGCCGAAGCAGAGGCCACCAGCCAAGGCATCTGCGAAGTGGAGATGGCCATCAAGGATAGCAGGCTTCATTCCATCCAGGTGCCTGGTTGCCACTGGTTAAGCCGCCACTGCTTGGTGAATCTCATGGATACATCAATATAAATATCTATGGGATACACACCAACAATGGATATATATATATATATCATGGGATAGCTGATGGGAAACAATGAAGACTCCCCTGGTTGATTGGTGCATTGTTTTTGGAGACTTACACTGGTGAATTTTCATTGCAGGATTATGGGTGCCCATTGTCTTGGGAGGATGATGATCCTGGGAGCTGGGAGAGTTTTTAAGGATACCTAGAATGAATAGACATATATATATATATGTATATATATATATATATTATATGTATATATATATGTATGCATAATTAAAAACTGAAGATTTAGATCCTAAGTTTGGGGTGATGGGCCTGTTGCTATGAACTGCCAACAGCAAGTTTAGATGTTCAATCCTTGGTTTTTGGGGGTGAAACCAATCGGACAGTCGATATGGAGGCCCGCCAGTTCACAGCCATCGATGCATACTTGTAGGTTGATGTGCTATGCTATTCCCTCATTTATGGCTGCGCAGGATCAACGTATTCCACTACCATTCATCACTTTCTTTCAACATCTCATTGTTTTTCTCTCGGACCCACTGAAAAAGTGGTGATGATTGGTTCTTAATATGCCGATTGATATTGGCACTGGCCAACCAGCCTTCACCAATAATAATTGGTTTACCAAGAAATAAAAGGCCCGTAATTATGGAAGAATATTCCAGTGATCTTCTCATGTTTTGTTGATAAATTTACCCCCAAGACATGCTCTGTATATAAATAAGCTATAATTATATGTATTTGATTATAGATTATTGGATGATATTGGAGAAACGACCCCGTTGCAAAACATGACATGCACCAGAAGCATTTGGGGAATATGTGCCTTGGGAGCGTCCTCTGAGTTTAGATTGCAACCTCGCTTTTAGGGATGCACTCGATCCGCTTATCAAACAATTTTGTCTATTATTCGGGTTTATCCATCCAAAGTCCAAGAATTTTCCTATCGACAACCCATCAAACGAGGTCTTTCGAGAGAGGGACGTGCTGATACAACAGGTGGCTGTGGCTAAAGACTCTGGACATCAGATCAAAATCAGAAAATTGAGAAACTGACTGTACAAAATCCGAGGAACCAAGTTGCCAAGATGTGAGAGGGCGATGGATAGAGAGAGAGAGAGAGAAGTTTCCAAGATGTCCTGCAATGCCAACAGACTAAACAGCTTCCAGACATCTATCATTATCCCAACAAAAATGATGGAATCATCCAAAGTGCTTTTGAAACATCTCAGACTGTCATCTTTGCCATCCAGTTTCTTATCCACTTTCTCAGAGAGAAATCATCCAAATCATCCAATCGAAAAAACAAATCCAAGGTCTCAGAACTGAAAGCTGAACAGCAGCAATTGGACGGCCTATGCCTGGCTCTGCGCCGTGCTGTGCACGCAGAGGGCCTCATCATGGAGGTTTGGGCTCCAAAAGGGCCCATCGGGGATGGATTTTCGGATGGGCTTTGGGTGAAAAAACTTCGATTTGCTGTACCATGTAGGAAAATTCTGGGGAATACATATGTTGTTGTTTTATAATTGGTCCCCTTGAGCGAATTCAGAAAAATTAACGATCCAGTTTTGACTAGTTTTGACTGATTTTGCAAGTCAGAATCCGTTTGAGTCATGATGAGTCATGATTGTTGAATGACATTTTGGCCATGTGTTAAGATGGAAATCATCCATTTTTTATCAATATAGTATATATATATATACGCACTATATCCAGAAGTGATGAATCCCTCTGTCCGTTGCAGTAGGCTACATCCCTAGGTATAGGTGAAGCAAAGCAGCCCAAAGTCAGTGGAACGGTCTAGCTGCTCGAGCAACAGATTGTGGTTCTTTGAGTCTAGAAGTTTGATCCCCATGACGAGCTCATAGGTTTTGATGTTTTGATCAGGACTTGCACGACATGTCTTGGCCGGCCAAAAAAAGGACATGGAGACGGAATTGCAGATGGCCTTTAAGAGGAAGGAAGCATTGCTTCAGGACATCGCGGTGAATAGCCAGACGTCCCTGAAAATGGAGAAGGACCGGGGTGGAGGGGGGGGTGATCTTTTTTGGTAGATGTCCCTTTTTGAAGGGAAAATCCTTTGTTGTTTTGCTCTTTTTGTGGTTGTCATTCTTTTGGGTGGTTGAAGGTTGGTCAACCATTGATGATATGTAAAATATAGACATGTTTCCTGGAATTGGTTGGTGGTCAATGTCGGTGTTGAAGAATCCAATCCCCCCCACCAAAAAAAATGAACATACCTCCGAACCGAACCTTAGCTCTTATTTTTCGGATGTATTGGATCCTATCCGGGGATATCAATAATGTTGTAAAACCAATAATAAACATGAATAAACGATCCCAGTTCTAAAACAGGGGAAAACCATAAATCTTCGCAGTTTATGGTTACCATCCCAGTTCAAAACCCAACTGGGGATGGTGACCATGCCATCTATAAGGACTTGGACCAGCTGCGACCGGAACTGGCTGAAGCCGATCAGCGATCGGCCTCCCTGGAGACGAGCTACTGGGATGTGAACCGCGGTTTTTCTCGGGCAAACAAGTCGTCGTCTCAAAAAGTGGATGGTACCCTCTGGTAATTTGACATAGCTATTGAAAATGGCCATAGAAATAGTGAGTTTTCCCTTTAAAAATGGTGATTTTCCATAGTTTTTTGTATGTTTACCAGAGGGTAAATGCTGTTTTTTTTTTTAAGGCAAGTTTCCGTGGTTCTTGAGGCTCTTAAATTTTGACCCAGACGAAGTCTGCAGGACTTTCCCAAGAAAAGGTGAGGATCTAATGAGAGATGTAAGCAATATCAAATGAATCAAGAAGTGAAGATGTCATTCTGTAGCTTGAAGATGTGCCATTCGTTTTGCCTCGAATTTCGATGATCAAAACCACGGCAGAAACGTCACATTTGGGACCTGGGAGGAAGGCACCCCTGGGTCAAGTTCGGCAATATCAGCAGATTGAGGATGCTTAATCAATATAGACCTGATACATTGATATTGGATGTTACTGGATATTACTGGATATACTTATTATTTGTATATTATTGATATTGGATGATATTGGATATACCAAATATATAATGATTTTTTGTCCCGCTACTTCAGACAAACACATACATAACAAGAACCCTGCTTTAGTGGTGCATGCATTCATGTTGGATGTCTCACATACGTGGGGGATGAACAAAATGCGTTGTCAGCTTTCAATCAGTATGAACACGGATTAATGCAGGAATATATGCCCTCCAGTACTTCAATTTGGCAATGAAAGCTAAAGGCTAAAGGTTATGACGGTTCTTCATGTTATCAATTATTCCGTATTAAACATGTTACCATCAAAGTCGGATTTGTGCGTGTGTTCGTGCCATTTTAAATTCCCAGAGGGTACAGTAAGTGCCAAATTGAGTTGGCAGTCACGTCCCAAGGTGGATAATTCTGTTCATCCTTGCGGATATTCAGGTATAGGTACAAGATTTTTTGAGCAACCAATTGATCACAACATAGTTGGCAAGTTGATGCTCATTCCCCGCCATTCGGACAGACTCGCTGGGCTGGTATAATCCGGTGTGCTGGTGAAATCTTTACGTTTGTAAAATTAAAATCGCATGTTTGGGAAAATATAACTTTTGACGTAGACAAACAAATTTATATATATATATTTATTTATTGTATAAAATGTTGTAAATATATTTAAAAATCATGCTGGGAAAAGTCCCAGCTCTTGCCGGTTTATGCTTTGGCTACATGGCTTAATATGATTGGCAACATATCATCCCGCCCAGGTTTAGTCCAAAAGTCCAAGCAGTTGGAGGACGAGTTACTCCGGGAACGCTCCCTTCGCCAAGACTTAGCACGCTCGCCGCTGGCCATCTGAGGCCGCAGAAGCAATGAGCTGCTGAAACGGTCAATGTACGCCGGAAAAAAAGGGAAGCACTGGCACATGTTGAGGTGGGTCAAAATTTGGCATAAATCTGCAACATTCTGCAACTTTCCAAGGATTTTTGAGCAATTTGCATAGTATCTTGTTGTTCTCAGTATGTTCTCCACCAAATTTCCGCATGTACTTCGCCGCCTGCACGAAATCAGCCCCGCTGAGGACGGCGTTGTGGCAGCCCATCGATGTACATTTAGCCATCCGCAAAGATCAAGGTGTGATTGCTGCAGGACGGGTATTATTGGATGGTCAATCCAGTTACCCTCTGGGAAACATACAAGAAACTATGGAAAATCACAACTTTTAGTGGGAAAACTCACTATTTCTATGGCCATGTTCAATAGATATGTTAAATTACCAGAGGGTAAGGTTAAACGACTTAAAAACATGTAAAAACGACGTAAATGATGGTGGGAGATGGCGATGGAGAGAGATGGTTGGTTGGTAATCAGGAGGTTTTATCCCTGGCCTTAATGGCTTTGACCCAGATCCATGTGACAAAGCTGGGAAGAAACTCTTCGTTTTGCTGTGTCTACACGGTCTGGCGTAATTACTGGGCACATGTTGAAATGTCAGTGCTCAATGGCATGAAACATGAAAAACACACACAGACATACGTACGTACGTACGTACGTACATACATAGATACATATATATATATATATGATATGTATACATATATATATATACATACATACATATATATACATATACATATACATATATATATATATACATATACATATACATATATATATATACATATATATACATATATATATACACATATATATATATATTTATACATATTTATATATACATATGTACATATATATATATATATGCATATATATATTATTCACAATGATAATAATAACGATAATAAGAATAATGATAATAATACATTAAATAGATAAATAAATACATAAATATATACATAATAAAAAACTAACAATAACATTATTATTATTAATATATACTTATATAATGACATATATATACTTAATTATATATATATGTGAATATATATATATATAATTATATATATATAATAATATATATGATTATATACATAATTATATATATAATTATATATATATATGATTATATATAATTATATATATAATTTTGATCTACCCCCGGGGCAGTAACAGTGAGCACAAGCCAGGGGCACAAAATGAGCACCAGCCAAATGCAGAAAATAAGGGTCTAATCTGGTGATATGATACGGATAAATTCTTATACCAAAACCAAACAATGGATCAGGTAGACACCATGAATATGTAAATCATCAAATGGTTGAAAAAATGTTTCATGTGAATCGGAAGGAATCAAGCTGCACAGGTGTATGTTTCTCTCTTCTCGGCTCTGGTTGCTACAGATTTGCTAGGAACTGGCCAACTTATCACCAACATTCCGTTGGAAACCTTAGCAATTCTTAGTAACTACGACAGCTTAGCAATGTGACAACTAGCAACAATAACAACAACCGCCCCCCACCAGCGAGAGCACCACCACGACCACTACAACCAGCAGTACCAGCAGCGGCAGCAGCAGCACCACCACCACCACCACAACAACCACCACCACCAAACGCAAGGGTGGGGGGTGGGCCTGGGGCTGGGCTTGGCTGGGCTGGGGTGCTGGGGGCTGGTGTGGTTGGGTTGGGCCTGGGGGCGCTGGGGCTGGGGCTGGGCGTGGAGCTGGGGCTGGGGCTGGGGCTGGCGCAGTTGACTTTTTTGGTTTTACTGTTTTCGGTTTTTTGTGCTCGGCTGGTGCTCAATTGTGCCCGGCTGGTGCTCAAATTGTGCTCGGCTGGTGCTCAAATTGTGCTCGGCTGGTGCTCAAATTGTGCTCGGCTGGTGCTCAAATTGTGCTCGGCTGGTGCTCAAATTGTGCTCGGCTGGTGCTCAAATTGTGCCCGGCTGGTGCTCAAATTGTGCTCGGCTGGTGCTCAAATTGTGCCCGGCTGGTGCTCAAATCGGCTGGTGCTCAAATTGTGCTCGGCTGGTGCTCAAATTGTGCTCGGCTGGTGCTCAAATTGTGCTCGGCTGGTGCTCAAATTGTGCTCGGCTGGTGCTCAAATTGTGCTCGGCTGGTGCTCAAATTGTGCTCGGCTGGTGCTCGGCTGGTGCTCAAATTGTGCTCGGCTGGTGCTCAAATTGTGCTCGGCTGGTGCTCAAATCGGCTGGTGCTCAAATTGTGCTCGCTGGTGCTCAAATTGTGCTCGGCTGGTGCTCAAATTGTGCTCCGCTGGTGCTCAAATTGTGCTCGGCTGGTGCTCAAATTGTGCTCGGCTGGTGCTCAAATTGTGCTCGGCTGGTGCTCGAATTGTGCTCGGCTGGTGCTCGAATTGTGCTTTTCTTGTGGTCCCTCAGCTGCTTTGCATTGATTTTTCGTCATTTCTGATTTGCCCAGGTGCCGGTGCTCAAATTGTGCTCGGCTGGTGCTCAAATTGTGCTCGGCTGGTGCTCAAATTGTGCTCGGCTGGTGCTCAAATTGTGCTCGGCTGGTGCTCAAATTGTGCTCGGCTGGTGCTCAAATTGTGCTCGGCTGGTGCTCAAATTGTGCTCGGCTGGTGCTCAAATTGTGCTCGGCTGGTGCTCAAATTGTGCTCGGCTGGTGCTCAAATTGTGCTCGGCTGGTGCTCAAATTGTGCTCGGCTGGTGCTCAAATTGTGCTCGGCTGGTGCTCAAATTGTGCTCGGCTGGTGCTCAAATTGTGCTCGGCTGGTGCTCAAATTGTGCTCGGCTGGTGCTCAAATTGTGCTCGGCTGGTGCTCAAATTGTGCTCGGCTGGTGCTCAAATTGTGCTTTTCTTGTGGTCCCTCTGGTGCTCGTTTTGTCGTCCCTTTGGACCTTTCCTTGCCCGGGCTAGTTTTTTTCATTTTTTTCGCAATTATTTTTGCAGTCTCCTTGTGCTTTTTTTGTGCTTTTTTTTGTGCTTTTTTTTGTGCTTTTTTTGGTGCTTTTTTTTGTGCTTTTTTGTGTTTTTTTTGCTTTTTTTGTGTTTTTAATGTTTTTTTTGTGTTTTTTTGTGCTCTTTTTGTGTCTAGCTTGTGCTGGTTTTGGCGGTTGGTACTTACGCGTCAATGAAGTTTTGCGATTTAGGGTTCGAATGGGCTCGGGGTTTAGAATTTAAAGTTTAGGATGGATGCCAAGTATATAACATTTCCATTTTCCCACATGGCCAATCTGACTCCATGGTTGAGCACATTACGGTGCATTGTGCCAGTTGCATCAAGCGGCCAAATCCTTTCACAATATGTTCTAGTCCTTGCTTCGATGCAGACGCCTTGCTCGCACCTTCTCAGGGTAACACATGAATGTATTGTCTGTAGTCTGCGCTCTTCTTTTCTCAATGTTGGAATGCAACTGATATGCTTGAAAGATCTTGAAAGTGAAGCCCCTGTCTTGAATTCTGAATTCTGTATGGAGGGCTAATTATTTTAGGAATTTTTTTTTGATCAGGTTTAGGAATTATTTTTGGATTCCTGCTTCTCTGCTTTTCCTGCTTTTCCTGCTTCTCTGCTTTCCTGCTTTTCCTGCTTTTCCTGCTTCTCTGCTTTTCTGCTTTTTTGCTTTTCTGCTTCTCCTGCTTCTCGCCTTTTCTGTTTTTTTGCTTTTCTGCTTCTCCTGCTTCTCTGCTTCTCTGCTTTTCCGCTTTTTTGCTTTTCTGTTTTTCCTGTTTCTTTGCTTCTCTGCTTTTCCTGTTTCTTTGCTTCTCTGCTTGTCCTGCTTCTCCTGCTTCTCTGCTTTTCTGCTTTTCCTGCTTCTTTGCCTTTCTGCTGTTTTGCTTTTGTGCGTTTCCTGTTTCTTTGCTTCTCTGCTTTTTTGCTTCTCTGCTTTTTTTTTGCTTTGCCTGCTTTAAATACTTGATTTTCATGTAAGATGCATTTTGCACAGTATTTACATCCCTGAGTATCACATGACCAACCTTCTCTTGAAAACGAGCAACGTAACATGTGAGAAGAGGTGCTTGCATTCTGCTTTGGGGGGAGGCGCTGCGCCCTCCCCCCAATCCCCCCCTCCCTCTTTTTTTAATTTAAACTTAAACCCAAGTTACATTAGTTGGTTTTTGCGAACTAACCTTCTCTGGAAAGCTGACAGGATTACATGTGATAGATAGATAGATAGATAGATAGCTAGATAGCTGGATAGATAGATAGCTTGGTAGATAGATAGCTAGATAGATAGATAGCCAGCTAGATAGATAGATAGATAGATAGATAGCTAGAGAGATAGATAGCTAGATACCTCGATAGATAGATGGCTAGATAGATAGCTAGATAGAAAGATGGCTAGATAGATAGCTAGATTCTAGATAGATAGATAGCTAGCTAGATAGATAAAGAGGTAGCTAGATAGATAGCTAGATAGCTAGATAGCTGGATAGACAGCTGGATGGCTAGATAGATAGCTAGATAGATAGAAAGCTAGATAGCTAGATAGCTAGATAGATAGTTAGCTAGATAGCTAGATAGGTAGATAGATAGCTAGCAAGATAGCTAGATAGGTAGATAGATAGCTAGATAGATAGATAGCTTGCTAGATAGATAGCTAGCTTGCTAGATAGATAGCTAGCTAGATAGCTAGATAGCTAGCTAGCTGGATAGATAGCTAGCGCCCTCCCTCAATCCCCCCACCCGCTTTTTATCTAATCCCAAGCTTCCGCATCTGTAAATATTTGGGTGAACATGCTCACATGTAGAACATCCCATGCAAAATGGAAGGTGAACATGCCAAAATGTGGCAAATACCATACAAAATGGAAGGTGAACATGCCCACATGTAGGAAATCCCATGCAAAATGGAAGGTGAACATGCCAAAATGTGGCAAATACCATACAAAATGGAAGGTTAACATGCCCACATGTAGTAAACCCCATGCAAAATGGAAGGTGAACATGCCCAAATGTGGCAAATACCATGCAAAATGACAAATTCAAGTTCCAAACCGTTGCAAACACTAGGCAAATGGTACCAGCCAAGAAATCCAAAAAAAAATCCCAAACCTGTTCAAAAAAAAAATCCTAAAACTATTTCACACCCATTCTGTATCAGAGGTTTGGAGGGCAGGTTGACGTTTTTTTTTGGGCACCTCCTAGCCGAGATTTTTGGAGCAATTTCCTTGTGCTCGTTTTGAAAGGGTAGGTTAAAGGAAAATCATTTATCTGCTGCTACTGGGCGGGGGGTAGATCGAATATATAATTATATATATGTGTGTGTGTGAAACAAACGGATGTGCCACTTGAGGACATTTGGGTGCTGCCTTCGCACGACTCATGTTGTGTCCTTCACAGATTTGCACTCAGCCGGGCCTGCTGACCCTCGAGTTGCAACCACTTTATCCCGGTGGCCCAGGGGTCCGGAATCCACAGGTCTTGAATGGTCTTGGACATGGGGTGTTGGTGGCAATTGGCAGTTCTAAGGGGTAGAATGCACTTATAGAATAGAGAAGTTCGAGCGTCTATATATTGCTTTCACACAAGAAACGGATGATGATGCCTGACGACTAATTGGTTTGTTTTGGGGTTGAAAGAATATCACAATGTTTTCCACTTTGGTTTTTCTCATTTCAGCGGTAGATCATGTCGCATCTTGATGCGTCCCATCTCGAATATCTAATTTCCTAAGTTTCCCAGTTTATGTGGCATACAGTGCTCATATACTCATTTAAACCATCACCTGCCAAACATCTTTAAACAAAACTCTCCGGTCAGCATGGCTAGCTGGAATATCCCCCATTTTCATGATATTTAGTAGAGTTTTCCAGCTATAAACCTTCATTTATTAAGGGGGCATTTCCCAATCATGTTTGATGATTACCGGAGGATCATCTTCGGTTCCAGGTTTCAGAGCTGCTCGACTTGGAGACCAATTTGGTGAGGCCTGGGAATGGCATGGAACACATGGGATCAGTACCAGTCACGTTACGGGTAGTTACGGGTAGTTATAGCCGCTACGCCGCTACAACTGCGGATCAAAGTGGCAAAGCCATGCAAAGCCCTGCAAATCAGCGCGAACTCTTTGGTTGCCCAGTTTCTTCAATCACATCATGGATTGACCTGTGGTTTCTCTTGGCATTGAACTCTTGGAACGTGCCCCAAAAGAGATGGACAATCCAAGAAGTAAAAACGTGCCATCTTCGGTGAAGGATTTCCTTGCAGCATCCCTTGGCTCCCAGCCCTGTTCCCATCGGCATTCCCGGGTTCCAATGCCGGAAGTTCCACACGCCGCCGGGCTGCTCCCAGCTGCCCTGGCCGTGATCACGGCCGTGGGGATGGTCTACCGCGGCATCGTACACGCGGCGAAGATTGCGGCGGATAACATTGTTCAAGAATATGTTGCTGGGATCTGGGTAAACTGAGTTGGGCTGGTTTAGTACTTCACTTAATCGTACTTCATCGTTTGACATGCTGACATGCGGATAATGTAAACCATGATGAACTGAATAAATGGATGGTAGTTGCATGTGGGTACCCTGATTTTTCTTTGTTTGCATTCATTCCATTCCGCAAGCAGCGATTGTGACAGAATCGGATGGTCGAAGCAAATTGAGTGTATGAGTAACATATGATATAAACCAGGATCGAGCTAATGATAACATTAAATATGAAAGTAATTAATGAATATTCATGGTGTGACAGGAAAAAAAGAAGGATCATGATGGGGCAATAGTAGTTTTATTTGGGATGGGCGCCTCATATTTGCGGCTGCATGCAGCGCACAGCGCTTCAGGCTCCAACGACCTCCGCAGCAGGCGTCGGGGGGTTCTTTTTGATCATCTTTCAGTACGCCCTATGCATCCTTTATACGATCCTGGACGGATTGCAGCCATGCAGGTCTGTCATTGCAACTCCCCAAAAGATAGAAGGGCAACCAAAATAGTTATCATTTACTGATTACTTTTCTATGTTTTTGGGGGTTCGCTATTTTGGGGAGTTCGCTACAGATAAGTTTAACAAGTTCCAGTTTTGGAGCAGACAGCCTTACATTGCTTTGCTTTCGCCTTCACCATCCCAATGATCATCATCATTCTGCTACGGTATTTCCTGATGTTTCCCAGCAAGTTTTCCCACCAATCCTCCTACCCAGGATCGGCAACACCGCCTCCGTTTGGCTTCCCCTCTTGGCCTTCGGATTGGTGGTGCAGCGACATTGGCACCCCCAGCACTGAGCTGTGGACAAAAATAAAGAACGGTGGGACTGGCAAAAGGCGAAAGTCCTGCAAAATCGGAAGCGAAATCTAAGATGGCAGGATATCCTCTTTGGATATGATACAGTAGCAATATCAAGATATATCAAGTATATCGTTTCAAGTATATCCAAAGAGGATTTAATCAGAAGAGTCTTGATATACTTGAAGTTCCCGGCCTTGAAACGCATCTGCCTGGCCGAAGTTAGCGCAAAAAGGTCCGCGGTGGTTGCCGTCACAGCATGGAGATTATGACAGCAAACATTCGTGAGATACAATGCATATGCTTAATATGGGTCCACACCCACAAATTGCCAGTTAAGAAGGGAACATGATGATGAACCAATTGAATTCGTTTTGAGGGTACCCTATTCTCAGACACACCCATTCCTTGCTTAGTTTTGCCTTTCAAAAATGGTCAGTTGTTCGTACCAATTTGAACAGGTCGGGCTTCTATGGCCCTGCAATGCACGAAGTGCCAGTCATGGAGCTCAGTTGGGCAGTTTTGCCTTCACAATCTCCCTGAAGGCAAGGCACCTGACTAAAATGCAACTCTTGCAGGGGCGAAGGGGTTGTGAGAACGATCGTAGATTGACGCTTTGTGTTTTTTGGTTTCAAAATCACGAAAGGTAGCGTCAGCTACCTGAGTTCTCCGTGCTTCAGCACTATCATAGGGGGTATTGGGGGGCCAGCCCGTGCAATTCATGGAATTCTCGCCGTTATGTATTGGATATCAATTATAAGGGGGGGGGGCCCCCTGTTTTTGTTTCGACCTAATACCTACATAGGTACATGCATGAGTATTGAGCACATTTATATGCGCCCTTCAAGGCTCAAGAAAGAGGTATATAGAGTAACCCTGTAGACAAGCACTGACCGGCAACAGGCTGAGAGTAAAAGAGTGCTGTCATTGGGGAAGACGCCTTAGCTGATCTTGAAGTAGACGCTAGGGCCCCTCTTCAAGTGGTAGCGGAGCAGTGATCCCTCATTGAGGGTGAGCTCCAGGTTGAGCCCAAGAAATGGCAAGCCATGGCTATGATGATGATGACTTCGACATTGTCGATGCAAATGAATGGAACCAATATGACTCTTATGCAATGAGAAGAGCACCCCAGCATACACAGATTCATATGACGCAACAGATGACCACAAAGGTTGCTCCAGCCTATGATGGGCGAACCAGCTTTTTTGCTTTTGAGGATGCAATTGATGACTGGTGTGACATTACGGAGTTAGAACCAGAGAAACGTGGTCCAGCATTGCGCAACAGACTGGAAGGAGATGCTCAACAATACAAGAGGCTATTGGATAGAGAATTACTCAGGGATCCCTATGAAGGAGTGGCTTATTTCAAAAGATTTCTACGACCTCATTTCATCAAAGGTGCCCAGAACGTGTTCTTATACCGTTTCATGCAGTTCATGAAGTTCAACAGAGGAACCATGGATCTTCAGAAGTGGATGACTAGATTTCAACTCACTGGCAATAGACTTATTGAGTCTTGGATGGATTTACTTCCAGAAGTAACAGTGACTAGTCCTGAAGCAATTCTGTTTGTTCAACAACGACGTCAAGAACATGAACGAGATCAACAAGAGAGAGCTGAAGTAGCAGCAGCCTCAGGAACACCCCATGTAGCTGTTCCTTGGACAGATGAACTGGCACTAGCGGCATTCAGACAATTTCAGGAAAATCGTAGAGAAGCACAGCGACAAGCATTCCCACTGGGTGAAAATTTGCTAGCATTGATTTTTGTAAGTCTAGCTGACCTGAGTCAAGATCAGAGAAACACACTCACAAGTATCATGACACATCGTGGACGAACCCTCGATCGATACAGCATTCAAGAACTACGTGACCTGTTCTTGGAAATGTTTTGCACTACCAAAACAGCAGTTGACAATCCATTGATGCAACCCTCTGGCATGGCACAGAGAAGATCTTTCCTCGTACTGGATGAAGGTGAATTAGAAGGAACCGACGGCTATTGGGCCGAAGATGAAGAAGACGGCGCAGAAGGATTCCTGGATGCTTTGGAAGATGTTTTCTGGGTTTATGATGACGCCAACTTCACATGGTATCAGAGAAGGTTCCAAGGCAAATACATCAGACGAGGCAAAGGTAAAGGAAAGAGAAAAGGAAAAGGAAAAGGCAGAGGAGGACGAAGATTCTTCAGATCAAGAAAAGGAAAAGGCCGAGGAAAAGGAAGAAAGAAAGGCCGCTCTCACATGGTGAGTGAAGAAGGTTATGAAGATGAATGGCAAGATGATGAATGGAATGAAAACTATGACGGCTATTGGGCCGATGATCAAACCTGGAATGAAGGCTATTGGGCCTATGATGATTCATACTACATGGATGAGTATGGATACTTCCAGAAGAAAGGAAAAGGAAAAGGAAAAGGAAAGAAAGGCAAGAAAGGCAAGGATGATGATGGAAAAGGAGGAAAGCCAGGAGATGGAAAAGGCAAGTCGAACTATGTTCAACCTCAGACCACATCAGCTCCTGCCATACAGAATCAACCAACTCAACAAGCTCATTATTCTTCTGCAGCTTCAAGTTCTGGTCATGGTTTCTTTTCATTTGGAACAACTGAACCAGCACGTGTTGATGTTGCAGAGACAGAGCCATCACGTGTTGATGTTTTGACATCCACGTATGCAGCACAAGATGAACAACGACGTACTCGTCGTGGAGGACAGAACCAACGTGATGCAAGAGCACATCAAAACAGGAGAGAAATGAAGAGATTCCCTGTTCTGGTTGGAGAAGTTGGTGCACTACGACAAGGTGTACAACAACGTCCAGCTGTAGTGCCCAGGCAAGTTGGTCTTCAAGAAGGTGAGGCTTCATGGAAGCCATTGGCAGAAGGCACATCATTGTTTTCACATGGATGCTCTACAGAGATAGAGGAACCATCACAGCAGAGTGCTTTTTCATTTCATACTGTACAAACTGATCTGGCATGTGAGAATGGACTAGTTTTTCACACAGAGAATTCTGCACCACCAACTGTGTGTATTCTGGATCTTGGATGCACAAGAGCTATGGGCTCTCGACGAGCAGTTGAAGCATTTTGCAGATATGTTGACTCACATCCCAACAGTGGACTCTGGTATGAAATTCAGCCAACAAGTTCAAGATTCTTCTTTGCAAACTCACAACAATCAAAATGTACTGAGAAGCTCGTGATATTCATGTATGATCATGGATGGAACACTCAGTTTACAGAATTCGACATTGTCGAAGAAGGTGATGTCCCGTTATTGATGTCACTTCCACAGATGAGAAACCTTGGATTTCAATTTGAACTTACTCCAGAGAAGGCTTATTTGTCCTGTGCACGTATTGGCATGAGAAAAATGGTTTTGAGGACAGCCATTAGTACTCATCTCATTCTCGACCTACAAGATGTAGCATGGTACATGAGCCAAGTTCATTTCAAGACTCCACAAGTCAAAAGTTTCTATTCACAATACGATCACTTTGAGTACAGCCAGATTGCTGTCAAACAAGATGATCATGAAGGAGAAGCTTTGGTGACTGGTGGCTACTGGCAGGTTGATCCACTACGTCGTGAACTCATCAGGCACCACAAGGACAAGAGAATGAACTTACATGAGATGACTCGATCAGAGAAAACTCCAATTCCAAAAGATCAACTTCTTGATGAGAGAGAAACCCACATGGAATTCCAGAGGAGCAAGAAGAAGGTTCTTCACAAGGACAACTGGCGCACTGAGAAGAAGAGGTTTTCTGAACAGAGTGAAGAGTTCTGGAAGGGCAAGACCATCTACAAGATCAAGGAGGACTACGTGATCCCAGATGACATTGTCAGAAGTGACATTGATCGTGCAAAGCCCTTTCGTGGAAACATTGATGATCTTTTTCACCCTGAGTCAGCCTCTTCAGTGCCATCAGGTGTACAGAAGAAGAAGCCAAGCTCCTTAAAGAAGGAGGAAGGCAAACCGATTTCAAAAGGACCAGGCTCGAAAAAGATTGAGGTAGGTCCACCTGCAGCCAAAAGACACGTAGGTAAGCAGAAACCTCAGGTTGTCGATGACTCTCAATCAGGTTCATCAAGAAAGAAGGTTGTTGTCTCCTATCCCAAGCTTGATGAAGAAGATGAGCTTGATAAGGTAGCTAGGGAGTTAGGTTTGGACAAAATTGATTCAGATGAACCTCAAGTCATTGAACCGAAACATTCTGCACCTGCGCGCAACCGTGGTAAGCAAGATTCAGAAAGTCAAGTTGAGAAACTAGGTAGTGATGCTCTTGAGCCTAGGCGAGTTTCGATTCCACTGCCTGGTAGTGAAGTGCAAGCCATGACACCAGCATACAGAAAGATGCTCAGGAAACTGGAGGATAGTGTGGAACTTTACAAGCTTCATATCAAACACTATCACATGTCTCCTACTCAATTCAGACGAAGGACTTCCATGTTAGGACTTCCTGACTCTGTCTATCAGAAGTATGAGGAGATGTACAACAAGTGTCGTGTGTGTAGTACTTCCATTGCACCACCGCCGCGAGCCAGAATTTCAGGCATACGATCCACCAACTTTGGAGATGTTATCTTTGTTGATCATGCTGAAATTCAGTTGAGGAAGAACAAGTACATGGTGTTGCTTGTTCTTGATGGTGCAACCAACTTACTTTGGGCTACGGCACAAAACTCACTGAACAACAAGGAGACCATTCAGGCTCTAAGGTTGTGGAGTGATGAACACAATTGTATGCCTAAAGCCATTGTAGGTGATGAAGCTTTCTTTCAAGAAGACTTTCTGACTTATTACCGAACTCATGGTATCAAGGAATGTCCCTGTGGTTCAAGAACCCCATGGCCTAACAGAGCTGAATCAGCTGTCAGACTTTTCAAACGACAATGGCAAATCATGTCCAAGAACCTTGAAGATGATAGGTTCAAAGGAATCACCATCAGAGAAGCTGTGAAGCGTACTGTTTGGGCCAGAAACACTCAACTCACTGTTAGTGGTTATTCTCCTTTGGAAATTGCCACTGGTAGAAGACCACCAGATCTTCTGGATATTGAGACTTCTGATCCTGCTCAACTTAGTGTTGATCCCTTTACCTGAAGACAGAACACAACTCGAGTTGCAAAGGTTAGCACTGAGGGCACATCAGGAAGCCAGACAAGCTGCTGACCTCAGACATGACATGGCCAAACGAACAATGCCATCAGATGGACCTTACAAACCAGGTGACAAGGTTTTCGTTTGGAGTTCCCCTGTCAATGCTAATGCTATTGCTTCAAAGGCATGGAAGAAGGAAAGATGGATCAGAGGTACTGTTATCTCTCAAGAAGGTGCTATGGTCAATGTTCATGTTGACAACGCAGTCATGCGTGTTAATCAATCGAAGGTGAGACGTGACCATGATGAATGGCATGATGTTGCTGTTCCTGGACTTGACACATCGGAACCTGTTCCACTTGCAGTTGAAGATGAAGATGACTATGAA